CTCTAGCCAGGGTCAACCCACCACAATGATCAAAGCTTGAAAGTCTATCAGTGCTACTGAAGGAAAGCATTATATCTCATAAAGACACATGTAAACATTGGAAAAATATATAAAACTTTACCATTAAAAAAATAAATAAATGCTTTGGAATATTTCCCCTACAGTTACTTCCAGAATAACTGCAAACAGCCAACAAATTATCCAGTTCAAGTGTTGTTCTGTTTTTTGTAGCAAGTTTAATGCTGAAAATGTTGATAACCTAATACTTAGATCCAAAGGTCCCTGAACTGTTCAGAAGTTCAGACAATAAAAGAAAGCTCTGTCACTATCCATTCAAATGGAGAGAGATTTCTCCTGTCTAAGCAAAATGCAGTTGCGCAGGTTTATGAGGGATTCTTTCAAAATGTAAATATTCCCAGTTCCAAGGGATCTATAACTACCAAAGCAGAAGTTTCCATTAGACCTTTCACAGTGGGATATATTGAACTTAATCTGTATCTGCAACACAATTCATTCAACATACTGCGAATACAAGGCAGGTGGCATATCTGTACCCTTACAAGATAAACCAATAAGGATTCCTGACACATAGTCAGTTTTGATTAAGATACACAGGGCAGGGAGATATAACAGTTAAAAGTCTTTATCAGCCCATGTAACATTCATTACAACTGGCTATTTGACATTTTGAAGCAACATCTGAGCGCACATGTCATCGCCATATAAAGTCAAGAGTTCTAGCATCTTCTATCATTAGCAACAAGAACCGAAATAATTTCACAGCATGCTCCTTTTCTGCTCCACATGACGCTTCCTCTTCAAAGGGTTTCGGGTGGGTTTTTTGTATAAGTACAAAAAGCTAATTAATTATTAGATAGTGGAAAGTCTCATTGGGACATCTGGACTAAAAAAAAAAATACACTCTGGGAATAATAATGCAATTCTACCATACTAACTAGAGAATCTTTTCCATCTCTCTTTTAAACCTGTTTCTAAAATCCATCCTTATTGTACAAACTTTAATATAGAAATGAGTAATTTTACTCTACTTTCAAAATAACAATTACATTTACTGAAACCTGATGCATGTGTGGTTGTTGGAGAAAAGCAACACTAAAACCACCAAGCTATAAAAAGATTTAAACTTAATTCATATGGAGATTATTAACATGGGAAAAAAGGGTGGCACTGGAACAGATAAATTACTAAAATAAAATAAAGAGATGCTGCTTTTGCACTTTTCAGTGCCAATACATTTCCACATACTACCTTCTCTGCCGAGAGGTTACAGTATAATTTCAGGTTCTAGTAATAAAACTATGTCCCATTAAATTTTAATGACACAGGTAGAAAAAGGCCACTTTGAATTAAGATTTCCCCCTCCCCCCCCCCAAAAAAAAAAGAAGGAGAAATTTCGTTGACTGGGCTGAAGAGCAAAACAGATATTCTCCTCCTGTTTGCTGGAATCTCCCATTTGCATGGGAACACAACTGGTGCAAACAAACATGGAAGTAAATTTAAAACAAAGGCTGTGACAAGTTTTATTCTGCTTACACCACCTTGCTTCTGTGGTGTACTGGAGAATGGTGAGCTACCACAGAAAATGCTTGTAGTCCTCTCAAGAGAAAGGATAAAAAAAAAAAACCAACAAACCAACCCAGAACAACACATGGCATTTAGGAAACCTGGTAATGGTTGACAAAACAGAAAAGCTTCCTAGCTGCAAGCAGTATTTTGGGCTGTGTTAGACAGGAAGCCTTTTCAGCTGTCCAGACTATAAAGAGCACAGAAGACTTCTACCTTCCTTTGCTCCCTCCCTCTAAGTAAACCTCCCCATGACACCACAGTTATGAAGCTGTGAGGCAGATGATGACTAACTCTCTCAGGCTATTTGCTCTGGTGGTACCTAAGGGCATGTTTCCATGGTTGCTCAGAGCCAGGCAGAGAGACTGGAACTGACTCAGACAGCAGAACTGGCACAGCCTTGTGATTAAGCTTGTCACACTGATGAGAGCCTGCTGAGAAGTCAGACTCCTGAGCACGAATAAACTAAACTATTCAAGGTTCCAAGTTTACTCCCAAATAGCTCAGGTCTTTCTCTACACGGTACTACTATACATAACACCTCCCTCTCACAGAAGTTTTTTCCCTTCCAAAAATATTATTATTGATAATTATTATTTCTTGTGAAATTAAGTATCACCCACAAGACACTTACTGATTAAGCTATTCTGGCAGAATCAGAGAGAACTCTGTCCCCAGGCAGTTGTTAGACACCAAGAAGTACCAGTAAGGAACAAGTTCTCACCTGCTGAGTGGTACTAGTGACAATGCCTTGCTGCAGCCGATACGCCTGCTCCTGTAGGTACTTCCTGGTCTCATGATTACGAAGCAAGTAGTTTTCTATCTAAAAAACAAATCCAGATTAGGGAACTGATTTGGCTCTCCACATTGTAATTGACTTTCAATATTACTGCTGTATTAGAAACTGAGACTGACAAGAAAGACTGCCTAAGTATTTATTTGTCATCTGCAAACCTCATTCTGTGTGTCTCAGTGCTTAATAATCACATTGGCCAATATGCATTCACTCACTGACTAGTGAAACATCATTAGACACTGTGTTTATACCAGTGCTTTCCAAATTAGTCTTTGAAACAATTTAGTAAATTATGCTGACAAAGGGGTAGATCCAGGTTTGAGAAATATTTAAAGGGACTCTGTCCATAAAGTGTTGTTGTAGAGACCATGATGACACAAGATAGTCAATTTCTTTTAGATTCATTCAGCCTCCTGCAAAGACACAGATTTAAATAGCACTATGGTCTGGAAGGAAGATAAAATAACTAGCACCTAAGATAAATAAAAGCACCTAACTCGTACAGGATCCTCAGTTCAAAAGTTACTTAAGTCTAAGCAGTACACAAGCACTCTTCAAAAGGCAAATGACTCCTACCCACAGCTGCTGGTCACAGCCCATCACAACTTTCACCAGCAGTAAACACCTACCATCGGGCCAGCTTAATAGGACATAACCGAGCTCTATCAAGCTCTATCAAACTCAGTCAAGTCAAAAAATCCTACTAGTAAACTGTTTAGGGTTCATAAAAAATGAATGGATCTGGTCTGAAAGGAAGAGGAGAAAAGGATGGGTGGAGTGGCCAGCAGGCTGTGAGGCGGAGACTAATAGGGACTGATGGTCACCCCTAAGCCTGCATCAGCAGCACGAACTGGAACAGCCTGACCATGCCCCACAGTAATGCAGAGTTTATCTAGTTTGCCCACACTGTAAGTAAAGTGTGCTGCAGAGATACCAGAGCTCAGGAGGTTAGGTACTGCGTCCATCTGGTGCTGGACCAGGGCCAGGAGCACTCACTGTATTCAAGCTGTGGTGTGCTGAAGCTTACGGAACACCCGAGACATCTAGTCAGTCAGTTCAGGTGTCCCTGCACTGGGCACAACAGCTCAGTCCGTGTGAGCAGGCGTTCCTGTGTGCATGGCAATAGCTGTGTTCACAGCACCACTCCAGACACCTTTATCTTTTCTTGAAGAAAACTTCCTTGTGTTGTGTAAAGAAAGCCTGAACCACATATGTTAAAACAAACTCGTGGTCAAACAATTTCAGCAATTTTCAAATGAATAAAAGAAAATGCTCTTTGTACATAATGCCTAATTAACACATAGAATTGAGATTCCTGTGGCCAGAAGCTTCACAGTATTTTCTATCATTCTAGATATGAACCTATCTACAATTACATTAAACGAGAAGAAATATGACTGTCCCCTATTACTCAGATTTTTTAAAGCAGAATTTAGATAATTTTAACGCATCAAAAAAAGGCACTAACTACCAGCACTTTTCCTTGTGAGAATCACTATTGAAAACTTCTTTACTAATAAGGATCATAGACATTTGCTTTTTAATCACAGTTTTCTGTAAGAACTACTTAAAAGGTTTTTATGACCTTCCCCTGGCTGAAGAAAAACTACTCATTAAAGAGATCTGAACTGTATGCTACCTGATTGAGCAGGAGGCTCATTTGGAGCTCGCAAGATTTACTGTATTAAAGCTCAGCTGGGAGTTTTTAACTCATGCAAGTGGAACAGCTACAGATATTGTCAACAATGTTTCATCCAAAAGAACATGTTGGTGCAGTTGCTTATTTAGGGCAACAGAGTGTGTGAATTTTATATGTACAATATAAAACACAAGCAGTAAATGTTTTTATCCTCCCCCAAATTAAAGAGCATCCTTTCTCTTGTACAGCTCTGCACTTTTTATGCCAAAATAAAAAACACGTACCAATAATTCTATGCACATGGAAATATGCAAAAGCACATATGTAGCAAACATGTCAGTTTCTAACTCTCCCTTTCATAGTTATGCATACAGCAAGACAAAGTCTAGCTTGCTCTTATTTAGTTAGGACTTTTTGATACTACACCACTGCGTTCCATCACCCTCTACTGCAACCAAGAAAAAGCCTTACATGCTCCTGCAGCACTTGATTATCATGTATATGTCCATGCAAATCAAACCATCAATGAATCTAGTCTAGAATTCTTACTCAGTCAAGCATAATCACAGCCACCTAAAATTATTGCTTTATTTTTAGTGATTTCTGTTCATTGATGGTATATGCAATACCTTTTGCAGTGCCTCTTCTGTTTTCTCAGGGTTTGTTTTGAGTGCTTGGGAAGCATCATTCATCGGTATAGGCATGAATCTCAAAGTGTAATTCCTAAAGAAAAGTAAAAGGAAAGATTTTTTAATAGTAAAAGTTAACCTAATTACTGTATCTCTTTATGAACAATAAACTAGAAGGGAGAAATGAGATGCATCTAGCTTGTCTGTGGAAGACAGTAAGAAAGTATTTTTCACATTTGTAAGTGAACTAACTGGAGGCATGCACGTGCCTTTTTGCTGCCAGTTCTTCTTTGCCATTAGATAAGAGGAGGAGACTTTAGAAAGCACAAAATGCAATTAAGCAGGCAGTGCTCAGTGGCTGTCAATTAAAGGCCTAGCTGTCCTCTATACCTTTGCACACAGAGTTGGATTACTTTTTCCTGTATCAGAACAGGGAGTGTCAGTGCCTGCTGGCAATTCTAGCAGATCTAAGTCTAAATGGAAATATTCAGTAACAGATAGATGGCTGCTAAGAAACTGCGTTTTGAAAATTTAGTATTTGGTAACTTCTTGTGTTTACAAGAATTTAAGACAGTTGCTGAACTTTCAATGAAAGCTGAAAAAACATCTCCACATTGCTTTATGCAAACAATTGCTCCCTGCATTTTAGTTATTTGCAAAATATTTGCATAGCTTTGTCCATCTGCTGCAACATGATAATAAAGATAGGGTTTTGGTCTTGACACAAAATTGTATTTGAACCCTTGAGAACACAACTTGGCCAGCATGACACAGTTAAACCTAAAACTCTATATGCTGTGAGATGTCCACACACCTTCAGATTTGAAAAAATGAAAAATTAATTTAAAAATCTGGAAATTATTCTGCCTGTTTTCAACTAGCCTTAATTTCCTGCAAACATCTCTTCCTCCTCCTTCAGCTGTCTGCAAACATCCCACTAACTGTCTGTTTCTGTTCCATTCAGAGTTTCATAAATATGGTTGGAGTTCTCTATTTTTGAGCACTTTAAAGTCGGCAATTTCAATTGAGTCAACTCTATTGACTTCAATGGACCCACTCCTCACTAAATGCACTAACTCCAACAGCAGACTCCTTAACTACTGTGAAACTTCAAGGTTCTCTCCAAGGTTCTTTCACTTCCTCTCCCACCATTGGCTTAGCCACATGAAACACCACTCTCTGAAGGACAGTGGACTTCTGAACTACCAAACACACCTATTCCTCATTGATACTACCCAAACCTTTACCTAAATGATAATGGAAGACTTCTATGTTTCTTCCCCAATGTAAACATGCTGATGTATAGCTGTCAGTGGCAGAGTCAGCAAGGTTGCTGCCCTTCCACAGTGTCCAGCTGCCCACTGCATCACAGCCAGAAAATTAACTTTTCTTTCTAGTTGTCTTATCCTTCAAAAGTACTATGCCTGTTGGTGCTGAAGCTGCAGGTGGCCTCATCCTTGAGCAATTAATTCCTGACCTTGAGTGAAAAGTAAAACAAGAAGGAATGTGTATGAGAAGATAAGGATGGTTTGTGAGCTGTAATTAGTAACCAGTCAGAAGTAAAAGAATGGCTCGTCAACAGGTGGATTTACCCAATCATGTCAATTGTTCAGACGCGTGTGTGATAAGGGGCAACAAATCAAAAGTGAAAGAGTGCCGCATGCTTGGGCCTGCTGGAGGAAAAAAGGATGTATAAGCTGTGCAAAGTTTCAGTAAAGTGCTGATGCCTGAAGACATCTCGGTGTTGGTCATTTCTTCATCTGCCGCACTATGCCTGCTATTACAGATCCCGTTATGTGTCCTCATGTAATACTAAATAGTGAATAATTGGCTGTCCACCAGCATGGGGACAATTTTTAAATGTCAAAGGTACTGAGCTCAAAGACAGATAATAATTACAGACTGGTGATTGCCTGACTACTAGCTGGCAGGTGGGGTATTTATTTAGTTAAAAAGAAACAAAGGTAGATTTTGAAGGATCTCTGCAGCTGTTTGACATTTAATATATCACATTCATTGAAATCTAAAATTGCCAGCTCTCGTGCTAGCAATTATATGCTACATTCAGTTTAGTCAAAGGCTTAGTACACCCTCTCTCACACACACAGATACACACACAGAGGAAGGGAGTAAAATGAGAGGCAAGGAGACCCCACGGACACAATCACAGAGGCAGAACTTTAAAAAATCACTACCCTAAGGAAAGATCTGTACTTGGTTTCCTTCCAGACAGAAAACATTGTATTGGAATGGTAATTTATTTTCATCTAAGAATTATCCAGCTCTTAGGGGCAAAAAAAAAAATCAAGAATTTAAATCTCACTTTTCACTTTGAACATCAGAGCAGCATTTATCTTCACACTTCATTTTTCTCTGTTTCCTTTGAAGCCTAAAATATCCCTCCATTCTTTTTATGAACACTCCACTTGTCACTTGTAATAGAGTACATTTCTCTACCAACTTAATAATCCAGTAGTTTCATAACACATTAACACTCTCAGCAAAATACCTATATTTAAAGGAAGTTAAATTTGGGAGGGGTGTTCAGAGACTGGAAAAGATGTCTCAAGAACCTCCTTTGTCTCTCTCTACATACAGCACGGGTGAGAACAGTCCTCCATTTCATCACACGTTATTTCCCTTGTAGTAACTTCTGCTCCATTCATGACATACACTCTCTGCTGCAGAGTAATGACTTTACTGCCTACTTTTTTAAAAACATGAATAAGAATCTGTTTTGCAGGTATGTGAATTTCTTCAGTCTGTCCATGTAGGGGAAAAAAATAATCTAGAAATTAATATGGGACAATACTGTGCAGTTCTACAACACAGTGGAGTCTAGGCTACAAAGCACACAAGCACATGCTTACTTTCAGATCAAAATTACTGAGATACAAAACCCTGTTTAACAGCCAGGCTGCACAGGATGCCCACTGCTCTCAAATGCTCTCCTGAACTGACACCTGTACTGGACTCTACAGAAGATCCTCTCAGCATCTCACATCAGCTGGCTTGGGACACCCTCGGGGCAACAACAGTCAAGCTCCTGGAATTCCCTTGCAGGAACAACATTTTTACACAGTTTTAAGAGATGAAGAAAAGCTGAGAGGAGGGGGAAAAAACCAATCTTCAGATTACTTCACCCTATTTTAAAGTCTGTTACCATCTCTCCCAATTCTCCTCAGCCTCCTCATCTCACTATGAGAGCCTAGATTTCTTCTTTTTTGTTGTTCACTATATGACTATTTTTCTTAAGAACAAATTGAAAACAACACACACAACACACATACCCCCAAGCATCTTCAGTATATTTAATTCCATTTTGAGCAACAATTCTTTCCTACAGAATATTTATGGTTTCATGTATTTAGGAAACATATGGTGCAGGATGTTCTCAACATGTCTTTGAGATGGATTGTTTAAAGGCTAACTGTTTTCAGCCAGTATTGACAGTCCATCTCTTGCAAGTTTAAATCTTTGTTGCTTGTGGCTTAGTTTGTGATATTATCAATGGTTTTAACAATTCTAAAATGTTAGAGGAGACATAAAATGACCTCAGCTTCCAAGCTGAATAACTGAGATGTTGCCTCAACAAAGTGCGATGTCACACAATTATCTGTAGCTTTTCTTTTTTTTTTCTGCTTGGATGATTTACTTTTGCCTTAGGATTTCCCCTTCTGTTCTATTTACTTACCCAAGCATTTCAGAACAGAAAAGTAAAGTTGATGCTAACCAGAAAATAAGTGTATTATCTTTTCTGCTAGACTTTCTCATAAATGTACATGCTATTGCTCTCTAAAAGAGAAATGTCTGCAAGCTGACAAATAACCTTTGCAAATTATTATTCACTATCAATAGAATCACTCCAAGATGATTTGGTTAATTATACATCATTTATATAATTTCCCCCATCAGTGCAACTGAATTGATTTTGAAACCAAGTATATAAACTACAACAGTTTCAGGAAACAAGTAACTTCATAAGCTCTAGCCTCCTGACTCCTCTGAGGTTTAAGATGTTCCCCTAAGTAGTTATCCTGTTTTGCAACACGTCTTGTCTAGAAACTAGCAATTGTAATTGTACATTACCTTCACCTTCTAAAGAGGGCCTTAGCTCCTCTCAGAGGGGTTTAATGACATGAAACAACTGTAACTGCTGCTTAATTTAAATCTCTAATTTTTCCCTCTTAAGAAAAGTAATAATAACATATAAAGAAATGTGATGGAGATGGAGAGAGATGAAAGTCATTTAGCATCTATCGTGGGTAACGGCTGCAACTGTGAGTAAACTCAGGGAAGCAAAATTACCCAGACCACAGCAATTACAATGAACAACTAGAGTTCCTGAGATCATCACTATTAGTTCCAACTTGCTGGGGGAAAGAAAAAAAAGCCAGACCACAAAGGCATGCTTCAGTAATTTTCTGTTATTATATACAGCTTCATTCACTGACTAGAATAGAATTTCTGCATGCTATCAACACAAGAGAATGAAGAAAAGGGAAAATATTCTCAAATTCAGAATAGTAATGCTAACAGAGGTACTCAATGGCCTTAATGCTGATAGCAGAGTATGGGTGAAAGAGCCACAGAGCCTTTTCCCATCCTTTTCAAGAACGTGAAGTCACACATCTTCCTTTACATTAAGCACACTGATGCTTAAAATTGAGAGCACTCAGCATCTTCAAATCATATTGACTGTGCTGAGAACTGCAGCTGCTCAGATCATTCAGGATCTAAGTCTTTAGCCTCTTCATCAGGCATGCAGTTGCTCGAGAACTTACTTTTCCAGTGCCACAGCTATGTCCTGAAAGCCCTGTGCAGTGATGTTATTCTTGTCCCATATTACAGTTCTGAGAGATGAGGGGGAGAAGAAAACAAAATAAGTTAAACAAGAGCCAACAAATAAATCCATACTGAAACTTTGCATATTGAAGTAACACAGTGCTGTATGTTCAAAATGGAAACATTTTAAAAACCTGTCTTTAGTTATATGCTAAAACCTTAAAATGACAGAAGTTAGGCACAAAGACAGTATAAAAATTCGGTTTGCCTTTCTTTAAAGGGGATTTTGTACTATATTTTCCATCATTAACATAAAAACATAGCTTTTTCTAAAATACAGTTAATAGAAAGACTTGGAGATAAAATTCCAGCTTTTTCCAGGAATGACAAAAAAAAAAAAAGTTTAAACGACTGCTTTGCAAACCCACACTGAAAAACAAGAAAACTGCAGTTAAGTGATCAATCTCTGTTCTACACAGGCTATATGACTACAGTTACAGAAAAAGGTATTTAAAAAATTAATGGCGATTGGTGGTCAAAATTTGCAGGCTATTGTATATTCAACCCTGTACTAGCTCATCACACAGTTCCTATGATTCCACATGCAACATAACTAGCTGCTAGTATAAACTATTAGGGTAGGTGCATAAACTGCAGCTCTTTTGAATACACAATAGTGATAATGGTGATCAAGCCTTCCCCCTCCTCCCTCAATTTAGACCACTCAAGCAGACTGCTTGGCAATTTGTGAACACATGTTCAAAGATCTCATTAGCAGTCAGAAGAGATAGTCAAGCGGATAAATTCTGCTTGGCCAAGAGCACTAGTTGTAGCTGTTCTTTAAAAAAAAAAAAAGAAAAAAAAAAGGCACAGAACCAAACAAAGATTTATGGTGTTAAAGGGGGGGGGGGGAAGATAGATGGCAGGGTTTCACAGGTATTGACACCCTTCTGCTGTTGCGGAATTCTCCCTTTGCTTTTTATATAGAAAGATGAAGGAAAGGAAGAGAGGAAGAGAGATTCTACACCCACTCTGCAAAGATCAGGTATGCTGAGAGACAAATCTTGGCTATTTTTGTCATTGGAAAGTCTGTTTATATTTCTACTTGGATGGGATTTTAGAAGATTTTAAGCAGAGCCAGTTACCATTGCATTATTCAGTTTGTAATCACACCACAGACTTTGGTGACATTATGTACTGTAGAGCATTTCAGTCTGCCATCCTGACAGCCATCAAGGCTTTATTTCTTCAGATACCGTGGTCATTTCAGGTTAATATATTTAGTAACCTAAGCCACCTCTCCAGTGTTTTTGTGACTCTTTCAATATTCAGTTTGGGCATAACAACACAAAGACCAGGATCCCTGCTTCTAAACAAAATAGCCAGGATTGTTCTGGGGTTTCTTATCATACAGGGAACAAATGCTTGGAGACCAAGCACAAAGTAGTCTCTTCACATAGACAATACACTGAGGAAGGTTCATCTGCACAGTCTGACAAGAGAGGAGGTGAGGATTAGCTCTCCTGATGATGGTGACATATTTACAGGTCCCCAACCAGATTGGTGCTGATTGAAGGTTTTACCATTTGCTAATCACATATTAGATAGAAAAAAAGTGATACTCTCAAGCCATCAGTGCCAGACATGTGCTAAAAAGCAGTGAAGTTGTCGGGTGGATGAAGTTACAGAGAAGAGATGCCAAGACCCATCAGCACTATAGGCAGGGGAGAGTGGAAGGAGGGATAGCCCATGCTGCTACCCATTCTGAATTCCACATGCTCTTAGTTCTTCTATAAGCTGATACTCCAGAAGACAAAGAATAATTTAGTTTCTCACTGAAGTACCACAATTTTTTCTGCTGGGATGCCTCCAGTAGAAAAAGAGAGAGCAGAAGAGAGTGGCTAAGAACTGGAACAGGGATCCCAGAGACACTTTGGAATTCCGGTACTTGGAAATCTTCAAAACCTGCCTGGACAAGGCCCTGAGCAACCTGACAGCTTTAAAGTTGGCCTTGCTTTGAGAAGGATATTGGATTAGGTGACATATAGAGCTCTATAACAAGAGCTATAATTGTTTTCCTATGATTCTAGGAAATTTAGAGCTCTCTTGTTCCAACAAGAGGTCTTCCTGTTTAAATTTAGAAAAAGTAATGTTCTCCAGTTTCAGTTATGGAAATGTTTTTACAGAGACAATTTCCTTCTCTTGTTTGTTTTTGATTTGGGTTTTTTTTTGGTTGTTTGGTTGTTTTGTTTAAAAAAAAAGAAAAAAAAAAGCCTGAGAATCTATATCTATATCTGGCTATATCTAGAAGGGTTCTGAAGAGAAACAGCCTGAGAATAAGCCAAGAACTTCAGTATTACTAAGCCAGTCTATCTTTTACTGCAAATACTTTTCCCTTACCTGAGCTTGGTGTTTATCTGCAGGGCTTTTGCCAGCATCTTTGCTCCCATATCTCCCATAGCATTTCCACTAATATCCACTTTTGTAAGAGAAGTATTGCTGCCCAAGGCATTAATAATGATGGTGACCTCAGTCTTCAGCTTAGAATCTGCGAGGGACAATGACTGCAGAGGCTGTGGAACACAGAAAAGGCACTGATAACAGCAGTTGATAATGCACTCATTTCTCAAACATCAACCAAAAGAAGTTACAAGTTCCCCAAACTCTTGGAGACAGCAGTAAGCATCAAAGAGTTTCTGCGTTTGCTGCAGATCCTACAACACATGATAAATTGGGAATCAACAACTTAGAGCAGAGATGTCAAACACATATACACATACAGTTTAAGTTGCAACACCCTGAGAAAAAAAAATATTAAGTGACAGTATCTCCAGTTTCTTGTGTCCTATTAAGTACATAATACAGTGGGAACCTGAAAAGAGGTAAGACAGTAACAACAAGCTTCACAAGACAGCCTCTAGTGTCCAGCGGGTTTTGCTTAACCTGCATGCATCCCTGTCAGTGAGAAATAAAAATATCTCCTCTCCCTCAGACCGAGAGCTTCATTCAAGGGCAAATTAGGATCTGAGACATTGTTAAAACAAAAACAATTCCTTTAAACTGTTTTATTATGCTACTTCAACTTTAGGAGTGATTTTGCCTATCTGTTCCTTCAATTAAGGGCACAGACATTTGGGATGAAAGAGGCAGAAAACTGTAGCAAGTCCGAAATTAAGAAGAGTATCTAGTAAAATGAGTATGTCAATGCGTATTACTCACAGTGGTGTTCCAACACCTGTGATTGCAGTATCTTTATGTAACTTTTTTTTTAACATATAAACTATGTTAAACTGAAGCTTCTTTACTGCGCTCCTGCAAGTCACACTCTAAACCTTAAGAAAAATTCTTTTAAAAATGCATGTATTTCCTCCATTCTGTGTCCCAAGACTCAGCATCGGGAGCTCAGGAACTACAGTCTATCTAGCACCGTGCTTTGCAGAGGTATTACAGCTCCTAAAATCGTAATTTGTCTTTGCTGATGTACTAGAACTCCACAAAACAGTTCCCTTGCTGAAGTGTGAGTTCAACACAGAGGAGCGTATTGTCATTATAGACCCACACAGGCGTGCGTTGGAGGGTGAATTTCAGAAGCCTAAAATCTACAAATTGCCAGTATGGGAAAATCAACGTCTGGTAAGGATGACCTGTGGCACCTACATTAGATGCTCAAAGCTTAGATTAATATAAATAAACCGGCTGAACTGGGCCCGCCTTCCAGGGTCCAAAATGCTGCATGGTACCTACTATACACTGGGACTCTAGCCCCCAGACACCACTGGATTACAGAAACAACCAAAAAGCTTGCAACAATAAAAAATGCACTTAGAAATGAGGAAATGCATAAAAATTTGGAGGCACAGCAGTTTTACAATTAGAAAGTCTAACAGTAACACAAGTCACATGCTGGTTTCATTTTAAATGGAAGTTATTAAATTACTATGTTAATGCCCTTAATCTGTCTGTGCTTCCCCGTTTTATTACATTATGTACCCTAAAGAATATTAGCATCACATTAGAATGGCATTTAGAGCTCTTGGCACAAGTTTGAGAAGACCTCCTGTGACAGACTCCCAGAAAAGCAGCATTGCTCAGCTCTCAGACAAAATCGCCACTAAGCTTGTGAGAGTGAACTTTCTCCTGTTCCTCATGTGCCACTTTAGAAAGGGTCATTCAATTTACTTAGCTGGAAGTGCTCCCTTCCCACATACCAATTTTTCTAAACCTCAAATATCCTCCCAGGAAAGGATTTCTCACCTCTTGCATTCCAATACTCTGACAAAATAGTACATGATTGAAAACGCTTCTGCACTGTGTTCTGCAGGGATTGGCAGCTATACATCACTACTACCACATACAAAATATGCATATAGCACAGTAAAGCACCTGCTATATTAGCAGCATCTTTGATGTGGATGAACTGCCAGTTTTCTTGTACAGCTACTCTCATCATTTATTCAATGAGCAAAAAGCAAACAACTCTGGACTCACTTGGTTCCTTGAATGCAAACTACAATCAGAACATAACTCTGTAGGATTAAATGTACAGGCTGCTAAACGTTCATTAAATTATCCGACCAGTACCTTAAAAAAACCCAATGAAACAACAAAAAAAAACCCTCACCAAAACCAAATCCCCCACAAACAGGGGCAATACTCTACATAGCCTACAAACACTCACTACTTCTAGCAACTTAATACTTTTAGCTGGATATTGAGAAAACAGAAGTCTGATAAGCTCTTCAGCGTCCCTGCTGCAGAAAACAGATACGTCAATACAGTCAAAATGTCTTAATACAATCTTATTAAGGAAGAGGAATTCTTAAAAAATAGAATTAGAAACTGTATGATTGTATTCATTGATTTTGTCATACTCCTGATGAAAAACATTTAAGATTAAATCAAGCTAAATTTGTCCTATGAATAAAAATGCTGTAAAAACCCTCAAAAGGTCAATTCTCCAACAAACACCAACCTAAGAATTAAAGATATTCAGCACTGTAGTAATTCTCTGCACCCAAGCAGGGCTGACTACCACTCTGAGTAATGGCACACTGTACCTGCAGTGTAAGTACCATCTATTTTTGCAAGAAGAAAAGAAATGGCACGGTAAGCATACAGCTTCAGACACTTCCTGCAATACTAGTAAGAATATATTGTTATAGCCTACACAGTACAGCAACTACTTAAAAAGTCAAAAAAACAAATAAAACCAAAACCAAATCTAAATATTACATTCTTGTCTATTAAACACCTGGGAAATTTTGCTGTTTAGATTATTACAACTGCTTTTAAATTGTGTAGAATTACATTTGTGTAGCTGTATTTTTACAGTCATAAAACCAAAGTATTGATTGTTTACACCATTTCACTCATGACTTATATTAACACAGCAGCAGATCTATTTGAAATGTGTATAAAGTTACGAAGAAGCATTTGGCAGATGACTGTTTTAGATTAAAGCCTCTTGCTTCAGCTTTCCATGCAGATAATGCATGGTCCCTAAACTGTACCATCCTGCAGACAATACATATGCTGTGGGCAACTTCATACTCTGGTCTCTCCAGCTCCACCCGTACTTTTTAATGTCCTGTGACAGTAAATGCATAGTAATGGCAGAACAAGGACCACCTCATTCAGGATTCAAAACCAAACTGAAATAACTAGAAACTTAAAATAATTTTGTAAGCATTGTACTATCTCAAGGTAGAGTGAGGACCATTCAGCTATGTGCAACACATGCTTTTCCCATGGTGCTACAGAGTCTATATCCCCAACTCTTTAGTTGCTAAGAGATGCTTCAGATTGATTTTTAGCACCTGATGAAACAGAAATAAACAAGATTCCTTCACTGAAGACAATTAAAACATGGAGAGAGAAGAGACAGGTTAACACCAACAGGATCACATGCCGTAACCCACAGGTTAATGCCTGACATGAAGGAGAGACAGTTATTTTAAGTACCTACATAAAATAAATTTTTGGTGGATTATTTCATTGTAACACTGTAAACAGGATGAGACTACAGGGTGTGTTGTGCAGGTTAGCTCAGGAAAGAGGGAGTAAGAATGACAGGAGCACATTTGACCACTGGATTGTGGCAAAGGCAGAAAGTGGAACAATGGCTGACATTGCCTATGAGCTGAAAAGAAAAGGAGCATAAGAAGTTGAAACTGATGATGCAAGGGAGGGACAGCTGTGAGAATGATACATCCACAATTTAGCACCTACATTTTCTCTGTCCTGAAAGCTTCAAAAACAGAAGTCAGGAAAGATAAACAGAAGGTTGTAACACTTAATAGAGACAATAAGGTGGAAGTCAGTGGTTTTATTCTTGCAAACAGATAATATGAACAGGACAGTCATATAAATAGGAAAAAATACCACAACAGCATGTGTGAGACGATGGTTTCAATACTGAAAGGATGCATAGAGTGTGTTGAAGAAGTGTTTTAGGATATGGCCTGAGTGGGAAGAAATGTTCACCTGCAACTGAGCAAAGGGATGAAGGAAATAGAGAAAAAATATGCTAAATTACATTTGCTTGTGATTAATCTGGTTTGACCTAACAGTCTTCAGGATAGCTGTGAAAGATTAAGCAAATGTCCAAAGAGAAGAAGCAGGTGCTATCTGATGAAATGATACCACTCCTCAGTATGGTATCAACAGAAAAAGGAGAGAAGGGGAAGATAGCCCTGCACTATTCCCTTTGGAGACAGAGTAGAAGCAGGTGGTCATACACTGCAAAATGAAAAGGCTAGTCTGGTACAAGAAGTAATAGAGAGATCTATCAATATGCTTCTTAGTTAGCATGATGCTCCATCTGACTTGTGCAAACAAGGACCTACTGCTTTCATTACAGGTGCTAACTCAATTAGAATACTGGTATCTGTATCACAGAATCACAGAATATTAGGGATTGGAAGGGACATATGCAGCACTTCACTGTGTCACACTGACATCCCATATTTTAAAGATTAAGGTGAGGAGGTAGGCAAAGAATAAAGAAAAAAAAACCTCAAACAGTAGCACTAATCCCAATTAAGAGGACACAAAGAGGAGAGAGGACTAGTTTAACAAATCAATTCAAATACAACTAAGCAGTAAGAAAAGATGAACATAGAACACAGGTCTAATGACCTTGTATGGAAGGAGACATTGGAAACCCTGGTGAAAACTGCTCCTCTCAATTGCAGGGTGCAGACACAGATGGGAGGAGAAAATAAGAAAGCAGTTAGTGTGGAGACCATGAACTTGGAGGTGAGACAATAAAGACAAAAGGAATAGCAGATGTTTAGACAACTGAAGTCTACAGTCAGCTATTTCTGGAGAATGAGGAAAGCAGAGCTTGCTTGTTACTTGTATAGGGAATGAAGGAGAAAGGAAGGACTAAAAATAGATGAATAAAGATTGAAAGGCATGAGATTAACAGAGCATCTTAAGATGCACCCTTAAGATGCACATTTTAAAAGCACCCTTACAGCTAAAACTAGGATTCCATGTCAAGACAAGACTACAAATCCAACCACAAAAGTCTTTCAGAATCAGGAGAGAGGGTGGAAACTTAAGAAAGGGGGCAAGGATCCCAGTAAGGCACTCTGAAAAGGTTTTATGAAACTGCTCCTGTGATTAATGTCCTAGAAGTAAAAAACAGCATAGTGAACAGTTTATTTGCATATTTTGAAGGCAAAGGGAGTTCTGGGAGATCACTGCAGTGACTTTGCATTTTGTTAAGCAAAAAAAGTGCTAATACCCCAGAACGGCTACCAGGATATAGTGCATTATATTAATTAAAAAAAATGAAAAATTAAAATTCTGTTATTGAAGGAGTATCATCACCCAGAGAACACTACCATTGTGATCTCCTATCAGGACACAAAAGTTTTGAAAATGTGTGCCTACAGGGCTGTATAATTTAGACCTGAAGCAACTAGGTTAAGCACATCCACCTGTTTAGAATGAATATTTTTCATCAAACACAGATCCTAAGACTATTCTAAGAAACACTTACCTACATGCTACACATAATCCAAATTACTATTTGAAAAAATAAAAACCAAAATGTTGGTTGTGCCTGTGTAGGATCACGGTCAAATCTTATGCAGCAAATTAACAGAGTGAAGAAAATTAACAGAAATAGGCTGTGAGGGTACAAATACACATGATGATAGTAGGCAGAAAGATACTCACTGAATCTTCGTCTTGAATCATCTGAACTAAATTATCAAGTACTGGAGTGAGATTTCTGAGGGAAGAAAAGTTAGGAAGATGATGAAATCAGCAACTTCGCCTCATCCATTCTCTTGTTATTTAAAAGAAAGAAAAGCCTTACTTGGATTTCATGTTGTTAAAGTTTTTGCCTAATGCCAAGTGTCTTATCGATCGGTTTTTACTAAGCCAGACTACAAGGGTTGAGAGGTCAGATTCTAGGCCTGTAAAGAATTAGATTAGATTAAGAATTAAAAAACATTTTCACAAAAAAACCCAGACAGGGTCCGATTATTAACACTATGTTCATTCACGTAACTGTATCAGTGTACTCATTTCCAAGAGCTCTAGAAAATTTTCCATTCTTCTGTTTTTAAATACTTTTGTCTTTTTTGCTTCTGTTTTCCTATGAGAATGAATCCTTTCTCTAAAATAAGCCCTCTAAATCTCCATCCTAATCAGCCACTGAAGGCACCTCTCAGAAACACAGAAGAGAAACGTAGTCCCTTATCCATAGTCCAACCACCCAAGGGTAGTTCCTCGCATTGTCAGGCAGAGTTTGAAGTTCCTTTTGAGAGTTTTGAGATCACACTAATTGTTATTTAGTCTTAGTAGAGTTGTCTACCAACAAGGTCTCAAAGGCTTCAACTGCAAAAAGGCTAACATAACAGGCTACAAATAAAATGACCTGAAAAACAAGCCACATTTTATTCTACTGGGTAAGAAAAATAACTTGCTGTAGTACTGTATTCCCAAACTAGTGGTGTATTTCAAGAGTCCACGAGTCAGATTACAATTATTTAGGATCTAGATCCTCAAGGTAATTCAGATTTCAAATATCTTTATTTATAACAATTAATCTTCTTACAAAATTGGGCTGAGCCAGTAGCTCCCAAAGCTTTCCACCTGCCCATCCATCCTACCTTTCTTGGGCCTTCAACTGTACTGGGAATCTCTTTCTAAAATACTCCTGCATTTGGCTGTCAAAGGGGCAAATGCAGCAAATCTGCAATTTGAGTTTGGAAGATGAGAAGCCAGCTGGTATTCCCAGCTAGGATGCGCAGAGCCTCCAAAGCACAAATAGTCCAAAACTTTTCCAAAGACTCAAACAGGCCTCCCCTGACATGAAGGTGGTTGATAGTTTGCTCCGAATGTCCCTCTCGCTTCTTCAGTATCATGACCTCAGCTTCATTGTGTATCTGGGCCCTTTGTTCTTTCAGTACACTTTCATTTCTCATTTAGTTTCTCATCCCTTTGTACTTAAACTCACCTTCCTCTAGATCTAATATGACACTTGCTGCCATCAATTTATTCCGCTGTGTTACATTCATCTCAACCAATATAAACTTCTAAGGGTACAGTTAGTCTATAAACATTTCTTATATAAGAGTTCTTCACCTGAGACATTTCCATAACCAATACAGGCAATAATCATAAAGCAAGAATGACCAACCTTGATTACAGTGTGAGCTGAAAAAAAAAAGCGTTTCTCAGATTCTGGACTTGCATGACCCTCCACTCCTGTTCTGGGTACTTACCATTGTCTGAAATATCTAGGCTGGTGATATTGTGTATTTCTGCTATGCATCCTTCCAAGACTTGGGCACCTCCCGATCTTAACTAGAGACAAAACATCATCCATTTTTACAAACTAGTTACGGTTTCAAGATCACACAGAAAACAGTGATAGGAGCTTTGTGAATACAGAAGGCACTAACTACCAGCAGCAAAAACAAGAGCAACAGAAGTTACAGCCATCAACGTGACAGCCTATACACACATCCCTACTATTCCCATCCTCTGCTCTCGCTATTTGCATATAAATGAGAAAACGGACTCTCTTTCCTTTCTCTTAAAACTAGTCTCAGTAGTTAAATCGAGGAAATATTTAAATAGTGCAGACACAACAAATCCTTTAACACTCATGCCAGGCAGTGACTGCAGGACTTTGGTGCAGGTTCTTGACATGAAATGGCAGGACATTTCCAACACAAAAATAAACTTAGACCAGCCTATAAGCATGCAACACTGTCACCCTTGCATTCCACTACAGACAAGGCTTATAGTGAGCATCTTCTTTCAGCTCTTAGCACAATGCTAGGGTGCCCAGATGACAGATGAGTAGCAAATTAAAAGGAAAAAAAACAAAAGTTTCTCTGTCAATGAAAACAAAATTTAAATAATCCAACTGTAAAATGTCCACAAAAGACCATAAATAAGAGAAATCAGTAATTTACCTTACTCTTAATTTAAAAATAGGCATAAAATAGAAAACCAGCAACAATAACAAAAATGCCTTTAATTTGAAATATTAAATGAATATAAAATAAATTTCAGGATTTAATGAAAAAAATAATGAAGTGGCCTAGGGGAAAACATCAAGATTAATAATCAAAGTTTCTAAAACTTACACACTTATTTACTAATGCTACTGAAGTAAACAATGCAACTTTTTTTTTTTCAAAGAAGCAAAAGTATTTTCTTATTTCTTGCAGCTACACAAACTATATAAAGTTCACTTTATAAAAACCCTCCAGAAAAAGATCTAAGCAAAACAGGGAAAAGGTTCTAAGGTTCTACAAAAATTCTATTTTTGTATTTTCCATTGTCACTTTCCCTGCTTAAAAAAAAAAATAAATATATATATATATACACATATATAAAAGCTCTTTCAAACATGAAATAGCCTTTTCACCCCCTGTCTACTTAGTCAACTTACTTGGCTGAATATCCTAAATTTACCTGCTGATATAAAGAGACTGTGAATAGTCTCTTTCATTCATGCTATAATTAAGAAACCACAAATGCCTTCAGAAGCATTTTTCAATAAAGACTTGATTTGGCACTTTTTAGAAAGTTTGAGATATGTGATTGGTTAACAAGCAGCTCAACAACTTGACCTGAGCATTTCAAAAACAGTGGTGGTTAAAGACAACATCCAAATAAGTCACATCTGGAAGTGTAAGAGATATAGAACACAAGAAACCTTTCCTCTTCTGCATAAAACTCCATCCTCTCAAGAAGTTGTTAGATTAAAGTCTCTATTAGGGCCAGAAGTGGTACAATTTTAACTCAACTTTATTTTTGTAAGAGCGTTTGTAGTATTTGCTGTATAAATGCCAAAATCATTCAGTTTTGCTTTGTGCTGCTCTCTCAGCATGGCCCACCACAAGACAACTATTTTAAACAGAGTGTCAACATCTGTTATTGCAGAATGTATGGAACTGGTCTTGGATTGGTTGTTGGTATCATAAAAGTACCACACACTGAAATCATACTCACAATAGAATCCAAATGCTCATGCTATATATACTTTGAGGGCTGAAGTGGATAATTTTTCAGAAGCAGTTTTCAATCTTGTACCAATAACTCTATATTCAAAATCTTAAATACACAAATATTTCATTTGTATAAATGGTGATATCTATTTCATCTGAGGGTGATGATAACAACTTGACTTTTAGGATCAGAATTTATTGCAACTGTATTGAAATTACATATATTGATATATAAAAGCTGAGATTATTGAAGGGCTATTCACCATCATGGACTGTGATACTGAAAAAAAAACTCTCCGCAACATCTCCTATATGACATACTTCTGAGATTACAAATACATGCTCTTATTCAGAAAATGAAGAATAACCCTTCAACAATTACAAATGCCAAGCGTGTTCAAAGCTATGAGGCACCAATATGGGAAGGGCAAACAAAGCTGCTTACTGATTTAACAATTAAGGTAAAGCATGGAGGGTACTTACACAGTGACCAAGCTAAGGGAAGCAGAAGGGAAAAGAGTGAAATACATCAGTGCTGAGCAGGTAGAAATAAAAATGTAATTTTCATAGTAAAAATAATAAAAAACCAACCAAACAAGCAATATAAAATGATTAAGCTTGGAGTTAATATACCAGAAAATTATGGGAGCAAATGAAAAGTGGTGTGAGAGGGAAGGAATAAGAGAGATTTATCCTTCCATAGTTGAATACAGCTTGCCTGATTTAGGAAAGAGGAGGGCAAAGCTGAAGTATCAGCTTAACAGCCTCCTAACAGCATGTGCTTGCAGGAACTGGGAGTAGTGCAGGTCACTGGCTTTGAGCTTCCCACAGCTCTGTTTCTGGGTGCAGATTACCCTGCCCAACTCACAGAGGGTCAGGGTGAGGTGCAGCAGAACCCTTGCGGTGCTGGGCCCCCAGAGTACTCCCAGCTCCTGAGCACGTCAACATCCCTGCTGGTAGAAGCATAACTTCTTCCCAAAGCACATGAGAATGGGTAAAGCTCAGTGATGTGAAAAAATGTTAAGAGAAGGATCTAAGGAAGTGCTGTCAGTTTGGAGGGACCAGGAACACAACACCACGAGTTGGGCATGTTTCCTTCCTTTCTGTCACAAGAGTTGGCCATGACCACTTGTGCTTTGGTGTCCAATACTGCTAACCACCCCTCAAAGGGCTCCTCTGTATACCATCCTGGGGGTTATTTAACGAAAGGCTCATGTTCTCACTCCTGTCAGCTCTCATTGGTTTACATGCTAATTTATACTCTCATGACTTATGTTTGTGTTTTATTCATTTATTCCTTTAAGGTTATGATTACAGGACTTCACTTTTGTTACTTTAATTACTCCTCCCTTTTTCCTTCCTTCCTCTGAAAGAAAAATTATCATCTGTCTGATCTCTCTACTCAAAAGCACATGTACTAGACTTGAAAGCTTTTCTACTTGGAATTTACACGTATTGCTCTTCAAAGTAATACCATTTTTAAAAAAGTATAAAATATCAAAACAAACTATGAAATGTGTTGACAATGATTTTTTTTTTGTTTTCATAAGGAAATCTGTGCACATTCCAAAAGCAATCAACGACTCAACATGGTCATCAAATTGCACATTTTCTACTTAAAAGGGAAACCGAACAGTTAATATTACTCAGGTGAGGGACTTGGAAAGATCTGCCTAACAAGTGAGAGGCTTTCTTTGCAGCTTGAAAAGGAAAAGGTGGCTGCTCAGCTAGAGAAGGCCTGAGCCTAATCTGGTTCATGTTGGTTTTGGCAAGAGTCCACACGGCTCTCTGTGTAACTTTGCCTCACTGGATCCCCAGGGTCTTGGCTGATCTTTTGTCATAAACTGGTATCATCCTGCAAGAATATGGACAATCCTGAGAAACAAAGTGCACAGCAAAGCACAGAGAAGCAAGAAGGAATAAGGTAAAGTAAATGAAGTTGTAGCAGTTGGTTTTATTTATTCTTAAGATATTTAAAGCCATTTGCACAGTGCTTCTTGAGTTAATGACATACTTCAGTCAGTGTTTACCAAAGTTCCCTATAGACCTGAATTGATTAATTGTTTAGGAAAGTAAAATTTCTCCCAAGGTTAAAAAGCAAATCTGCAGAATGGGAAGCCTCTCTCTGGTTTTGAAGGAAGAGAATCAAAACACAGACATGTCTTCAGGGCATGCAGCTTCCTGGGACCCATTCAAATCTGGGCACCTTGGAAAGTCCTGCTGCAGGGTCCCACGTAATCACAGCACCAGAAAGCAGAAGCTGCCAATCAGTGTGCTGGCTCAGTATCTGGAACAGCTACACTGGAAGGAAGGTTTTGCCAATCAGGTGCTGCAGGTGCTTTGAACCTTTGTACTCTTTATTTAGGGTGATACTGCAACACACAGCAGCTGATTTTTTCCGTAACTGCTTCTCCGAGTTCTACCTTTCCCATAACTTTTGACTACAGAGGAAGAATATTTCACCAAGTGGATTTCACAGAAACTCTAATTCCACATCACTGCATCTTTTGAACACATCCTGATAAATATTCCTTACCTCACAGCTACTGAGATCTAAAGACACCTCCTTCAGATTGTGATTGCAAGCCAGGCCTAATAAAAGCGCTCTGAAAAAGATCAATTTTAGAACCATTTAAAAAAAAAAAAAAAAAAAAAAGGCAGCTTTACATCATCATCAAGTGATCACAGGTTAATACACCTATAATGTGAAGAACCATTTCAAAACAAAACCACACCAGCTGAGCAGTTATTTCTTAAATGACAATGACCACACAAACCTGCCACACTTGGAACACTCCAGCAGCTTCAAAAACTGCAGGAACTCAAGGCTAATAAAGAAACCTACTGCTACATCAACATTTAATAACATTCATCACAGATTAATTTTATTCCGCATTTCAAAGAGCATCAAATCATTATAAAAGGAGTGTTCTGTTGTACAACCATGCTAACTCTGATTTTCCAAAAATTCAGGAATAAATTGGGTCTTTAATATATGCAAGATGCAGTTTAGCCAGCCATTTCAGCAGGCACAGTGCCTGTAACACTCAAATGCTGGATCGTGTTCAAGTATCACACGATTCTCCACTTCTGCAACCCAATAAATATTTGCAATTTGAAAATGATATTCCCAGACAATGGTATCCCTTTGTCTTTAGGCAGAATGGCAGGGAAGTATAGCAATGACTGATTATGATTTTTATAAATCCACCTTTAAAAAGCTTTACAGAAGTTTGTTTCCAGATATGAAAGTTAGTGTTAACAGCACACTTGTATTAATACTGTCAAATCAGAAAGTACAACAGTACGTGTCTTAGAGAAGGAGCAAGCACAACCTGTGTATACCTTCTAGTATCTTTAGAATAGATGCTGCTATGAATTAGTAATTGAACAGAGAAACAGAAGGACTTCCTCCCCAAAAGCAAGCTAACAGAATCCAAACTACTGATGCACGGAGATAAAAACCAACCCATTCTGCTGAGCCATTTGCCTATACACTGGCTATCCAAGGAGTGTGAAAAAGCCGTATTTAAAATGTGTGCACCCTGGGAAGGTTTTTCATTTAAATCTATTTATATTTGCCCTGCAGGTATAAATGTTAACCAGACTTTCACTGTTAACAAAGACAAATAACTTGTGCTTATTTACTTCTGAAGTTATTAATATGCAGACTTTGAAAAAAAAATGTGAAACCTCTGCAACAGTTTTTACAGATTTTTTGACGATCCTTGTCCATATTTCCTTTCCAAATATGCTTTTATTCAAAGTTAGTCTGGTTATTGATAACTTTGCAAAGAACTTCCTAAATATTTTGAGACAACCTAAAAAATACAGTGCCACCATAAAAAAATGCTGATTAAAAAAGAGACGTGGTACTGTTTCAAATGTAGTCTCTTCACAGGAAGAAAATGAAGGGGTTTTTTCCACCCCTAACTCTTTCCTATAAACTCACCCTAAGAAAATCTAATGATTTCTGAATTCTTTGTCATGAAAAATGAGCAAAATTCAAAGGCAGCGAAGGCAGACATAATTATATTTAGCCACTATGTTTAAATCACACACATGGCAATATATGGAAAGGTCTTGTCAACTGCAGTTCATGCAAAATGCAAGAATTGGCCTTGTAATTACCATTTGCATGAGAAGCATATCAGAAACTTGTCTTGTTATAGCACTGACAGATCAAAATACAACTTTTGGCAATATCTGTAAATGAACAAAACGCCAACATACACTTAAACAAGGAAAAGAGACTATAAACTGCTTCACTCGATGAAAAAAAGAAAAAAAAAAAAAGAGTGAGCTGCGATGGAACATTAACTATATTAACTATGTACAACAACTAAAAGCCCCTTTCCCCACCCACTACGTGGCATCCTCACAGTACAGCTTTATTAGCAAACCTCTTCCCTGAAAGGCTTGAATTTATTCAGGCCCATCACTGTACCAGCAAGTTTATTTCCTTCCCTGAGTGCTCTAATTATCCAGTATCTTTAAACTCACCGAGTTAGAATATGCAACTGAACATACCACAACTGTTGATCTAAAGGAAGCTGGTAAGAAAGGCATCAAATATCAGTTAATCAGGGGAATCTGAGATTCAGGGTGTCAGGTATCTGCATTTTATCTATATTTTTTCCTGTAGGCAGGCTTGATCTTGAATCACACATCCAACTCTGTGACCACTGGTTCATGGACACGAACCATGTCTCCTTTGTCACAGGACAGTTCCAAAGTCCAAGACATCAAAAGCTTTTTGAGATGCACTGATCAAAGATGCCAGAGAAGTACTATTATCATACACTATGTCATTTTTATTTTTCCTTCTAGAAATCATCTCTCATGTGCTATTGCAATCTTGGCAATGACAAATGAGTCTACCTGAAAAAAGGTGTTTCCATCTTCTTGTTTAACAAATCCTATCACCTTGGTTGTTCTGTAGAAGAACTTGTGGAAGTTCTGTAATTTCTTACAGATAAGACCAAAAGGCTAAGCAGCTGCCCCAGGATACAGCACATCCTTAGTCTTTTTAACACCAGATTAACTTCCACAGGATGCTTTTCAAATGTATTAATCAAGCCATACAGGTTGAGAGGGAAAGCAAGGTGCACTGCAGATCATAGTTGTACACATAGTTGTGAAACACACTCGGCTCAGACTGAAGAAAAAACTCGAGTCAGAGAAAAAGCATCTCGAGGAAACTACAAAAAACCATTAAGAGCTCTGTCCTATCTCCTGGGTGGAGGTGAACACTGCCACCAGAACAAAACCAAGGAAGCCCATGCCAAAATGTCAGCCAGCTGAGAGTGGTATGGACACTCTGAGGCCATCTGTCTGGAGTCCAGCTGGACTTTGGACAGATGCTCCTTCTGGAGTTGTCTGTGCTGGCGAAAGAGGTTACTGTTCTCAGCTCACCCTACACTACATGTCATTGCCTCTTTATTTCCAGCAACACCAGTTACACGAGTAACTCCCTCTAACCCAATTCAGTTAAATTGAGCAAGATTAGCTTAAACTTTATCAACAGAGTAAGTTTTTTACAATACAGATCATTTTGGCTGGAAAGGACTAGGAAGATCTTGTTGGTTGCACAGCTGGCAAATCAAGGGGTCACAAGTATTTGGGATAATATCTTCCATGAACACAGACATTTGTAGAGCACTCACCTGCTAAAACTCCTCGCACCCCAGGAGATGCTCAACGTGCCAAGGAGAAGAGCTAAGTATGAACCTTAGTGTTTGGGGCTTCTCACCTTTCCTAATCCGTGTATATCTATTCCATGTCTCAGCATTCTTTTTTGCCTGTAGCACTGGTAAGATTGTCTTGTGTATTAGTCACATACATCCTCCATTCCTCTTGCTTCTTTAAACATAGCTCCCTGCTGCCCTCCACCACAGAATCAATAGCTCTCAATTAATCAGAATCAACCAATGTGTTTCTCAATAATCACCTTCTGTTCGAAAACACATCAGTATCACGCCTTCCTAATCTTAGCAAAGTCTAAGCAAGTAAGACAGCAACCAAGAGCATCACACAGAACAGATGGAAAAATCAGAGCTAAAATGATAGACTTGTGTAGTTGAATACTGATTTCAATCCAGTGCATATTACTTAAGCACTATATTGTACTGCACTCTCCAGTGTCAAATTGCAGTAAGAAAAAATATCCCAAAACAATGTACACTGCTTCCTGTGTGCCACTTGTCATTTTTCTTTCCCTTAGCTTCTCCCAGATTGTATCAAAAGCTTCCATCCAGTACTCACCAACTACTCTTTATATCCCACATCTCTGATTTTGCCATCAACTTCCATTCATTAGCTACTCCGTTGCTGAGCTACTTCCCACTTCCCTTCCCTGTTCTTTCTCTGGAGGCAGGCTCCCAACCACACAAGTATACATACATATATATTATACCTGTGTCCAGACTAGGATTTTGGGCATGTGTTCCCCAAAATGGTTAGTGAACATGTCTAGGTGTCTACTACAGATAGGGTTATGTATGTTTTAATGCATATTAGCTAGCAAGTCGACACTCTGGAAAGAGCCCTTTCTGCCAGAATCACAGAATGACCTATCTAGATTAGACCTATCTACCTAGACCTATCAAAACTGCACACCTCACAGGAAGGGTGACAGAGTTTCCCTCAGTCTGCGTTAGGTTGTAAGAAGAGCTTCTCTCCAGTACTCAATCCACATCACCAGAACCTGTTAGCCACAGGACGGGTGACATACACCAAAGAGACTCACTGCACTTAGCATTCCTAGAAGTTGCTGCCATTGTCTCTCCACACAAAAGGGGGGCAGAGCTCTGTGCAATAGGTCTCTCCTTCCAAGCACTGTATGAGGTTCTGTTTCATAACAACTGCTGCAATACCGCAGCCTCAAAGGAATGGCACTCACACAAGTACATAATCCCATTTCACTGTGAAGCAGTTTTGTTCGTAAGCCACAAAATAAGAAATACATCACAAAAAAATGCTGATGGAAGCTAAATATCTGTGACATTCCCACAGAACAAAATATGGTTAATAGTCTCAGCTGTGAGATGGAAACAACATTTATTGAATGCGTGATCATTATGAAACTCACTCTTGCAAAATCAATAATGTACAGTGGAAAAAAAAAAAAAAGCAAAATCCTTTCCCCTTCATTTTTAATATGAGGCACTCACATATTAACAATGCAAACTTAGTTTTAGGCAAAAGGAGAAAATTAAATTAAATCCTTACTTTAGAGGCTCAGGAGGGAGTTTAGTTCCCGAAAGATTAATCTGCATCAAAGCAAGTGAGCTGCTGAAAAACTGTTTGAAGGAGGGAGGGACTTCTTTTCCTTTTCTGTAATAAACAAATTCATTAAGAAGTAGCATCTAGACACTCCTTATTTCAATAAATAGCAAATACAAGCAGTCAGAATTGTTATTATCTTTTACATGTTTAATTTGCTCTACCTTCAACAGCTCTGTAACTGGTAGCTCTCAATTATCTTAGAAATATAATGTCATCAAAATGTTGATTCAACAAACAATCCTCAGCACTGCACTGCTCCAGAGAAGACATTACTATCTAACTTCTGTTCAGTGAAAGGTCTGGTTAATAGCAAACATACTTATACCTTACGAGCAGAAGATCAAATAGGACATTACAAAAACCCTGAAACTGCCTTTTTACCACTAGAAATAATTACTCAGTGCTGTAGTAGCTTTGCCCAACTAGGTATCATCTCTGATATGGACCCAAGACAAGTATTTGAATAAAATGGAAGTTAATGTTAATATTTCCTACGATGCAAGTATTCTACAAAGTCAATGTTCAGCCTCAAAGACTTTCAAAGGGACTTCCTCCCAGAAAAGGACAAAAAAGGAAATAAGCATTTGTAACCATCAGCAAATAATGAAAAATGCAAAATTTAAAAGCTAAATTTAAAAAGGAGTCAAGTCAGTCAGATTTCAAAGCATGATGTTACGCCTCTTAGAGACAAAAGATATACATAGAAACCTTCCGCTGCATCAGTATCACAAAAAACATGTTGGACAAGGTAGCTTATTTTACAGCCATCTAGCAAAGAGCAGAAAGGGAAAGAAAATATTTTGTTTGGAATAAGTAATACCTATTTTATAGAGAACTAAGACTTCTAAGACTTTTATAAAGTCTAAGAATTCTTCTAAAAAAGAAAGGTGCAACACAAGAGCAAGAAATTATAAAACAAAATATTGCAGGAGTTGAGAGCAATGACATTTAAACTGTACCTGTGAGAAAAGAGAGTCCTAGAGAGGCTAAGGACAGCTAGATGCTGAAGACATCCACGAAGGAGGGCTCCACACACCTAGTTTAAAACAAAGAAGATTGACTTTACTGTATATTAATCCAGAAAAGTACTTAGGGATAGAAGGTGGGGAATGTTTCTTTGGTATTTGAATCTCCACAAAAAATATCTTTACCATATCTAGTGCACACTCCGTGTTGGATAAATCCAGATGAACAAGGGCATTTGGCTGGGCCAAAAAATTGTACAGGCTCTATAATTAATGGAGTAAAAAAAAAAGAATTATCCATGTTAATTTTGATATTATGACACTGATTAATGGATCACTACTTCTTATTACATTTTAGGCTTTTATTATAAAATTGCACTACAAGAGTTGTGTCTGAAACTTCTTTTCACCTAATCAATACAACCTGTTTTATTTTTGAAGGCTATCATTTTATAAAACAACAGGGGAAAAAATGGGGCTCAGACTACACCTACCAAACACCACTCAATACACAAGTCTTGAGTTACCTTGCATTTCACTTTCATAGCAAATGATAGTTAATTTAGTTAGAAATACCCTGGAACATCATTCAGATTGCTGTTACGTTTCAGAAAGGCTAACTGGTTTCTCAGTTTAAGCCAGCCCCTTTAAGCATGAGGGAAGCAACTAATTTGCATCTGAAGCCTATCGTTATTTCTTATTATCAGCAGTGCATTAAAGGTTTAAGGGAGAATACAGAACAGATAGCAAGATTTTAATATTGATTGCTTCAGTACTGCATAGGATATGTCGTGTAAATGTTAGTGTATGTAAAACTTTACTATATGCTGTATTATTTTGGGCTTTTCTTAGTCTCGGAGAGCAACACAGAAAGATAAAAGTATGACCTAATTCACAGAAACATGGAACACTCAACTGTGCATGAAATCCAGCCAAACACAGCATGCTCAACCTTTCTAAAATAGATCCATCTTTTTAAAATTAGGTCATTTAGCCCCTATACCTTCAATGCAAGAGAGGTCCCTGCTTTAGAAAATCCCCGTGCTTTGCTAGGGTTTATTTTAATTGCTAAATAACAGGATTTCCTTATTCCTCTTGGAAAACCGTTCCACAGATTAAGAGATCTCAGTATTAATAATCTTTTTCTTTGAACCATATCTCTCTCTCTGACAGGCTCCACTTTTTGTATTTGTGTCCCTTAAAATATTGTAGGTAGACATCAGATTTTTTTAAGCATTGCCTATCAGAGTTGTACATTTTATTTTACTTTTCGTTTTTTACATTATTTGCTATGTTATTCTCTCTTTAAAAGTAATTCACTGCATCTCTATTTACATTTAATTATTTGTTTGCTATCTTTTAAGTCCTCTTGTCCCTCTGAAACTTTCACCCCTTACATCTAAAAAGACTAGTTCTTTGAATGTGCTGATGATGAATGTGAAGCTAGGAAGATTTGTGAAAAAGTGACAGTCGTGCCTGACTGCACTAAGATTGGGTGACTCTAGTGTTGCGAATTTTAATGCTCAATGCTGAAAGAATTCAATACCTGACACTCAAACACACACCTTCACTCTCTTGATGTGAGAGAGAAATACAGATGTAACAGTCAAAAAGTGAATATATACAAATCAAAAACTAAGTGGATTTTGTATGGACAAAAATAGAGCTGCACCTCTATGGCAATTAATAAACTGAACAAAGGAACTGAAAAAATAATAACATTCTTCAAAGAATCATGAGCTTCAACAGCATGTGTCACGGAGATGCACAGATTTATTTATACAAAAAAAATATTGAAAACCAGAAATTAAGCCTTCCCAACTCAAAAGAAATAATTTGTTTCCAATCTTCCAACAAAAAAAATTGTAATAGACCTATCACTAAAAAGAAAATGAGTTTTTTAAATTGTGCTTTAGTCACTTTCAAACAGAACTCAGGGAGCCTGGAAAGTCCATTGGAACAAGCAGCACACTTAGTTTTCTCATTTATCAGCAGAAGCCAAGAACTAAAAACATGAACTAGAATTATGTGGATTTCTTTAGTCACATAGGGCAATTTAATTCTCTGACTATATGCTGAAGAGTAGAGATCAAGAACTAGAACTGTACTGAAATAAAGGCAAAAAAAGGATCTAATCAAAATGGCTTTGCCTTTCTCTCTCTTAACAATTAATTAAAACATCTATTCATTAACTCACAAATGAGAAGAAAGTGCTTACTGAGAGATCATCACCGCGGAGTGCGTTCCCTGAGAGGTCAAGATAGACAAGTGTGTTCGCGATCAGCGAGTTGGCACTCAGTGACTGGGAAAGGCTATTCACCCCTGTTAAAAAAACATCAGTACTCTATTTAGTCACCTCTAGACAAAACTTGTCCTGACCCTGCAAGTGCACAATTTCAGTGAACACAAACATACAGAAATGTTTAATGACCTCCTGTTACAATCACTGTACTGCAGCAGAGGAATACAGATCACCAGGCAGATATGAGACCCTTCCTTGCCACAGCGTGCCCGGTTTTGCCTGGACCACACTCCACCAGCTGCCCTGATGAAGCCACAGCATGTTATAGGTCCCAGATCCAGGGAAGAAGTCTTTTTGCCAAGCTTAAGGTGGCTTTAAAAGTGCAATCCCATTTTAAAAGTGCAATCCCATTTTAAAAGTGCAATCCCATTTTGAAACATCTTTTTAAAACAGAGTTTACTCCATAATGTTGTCAGTGTCTTTCTGCAAACAATAGTATCTAGATAAAAGTATCTATGAAAATAGATAAAAGTATCTGTGGAAATAGATGAAAGTATCTGTGGAAGACCAAGTATATTAACAATTATAATTGCCAGAACTTCAAAAGCAACTGACGAGACCTAGAAATTAAAAATATTTCAATTATGTTTTTGCCTGTAATTTCAGAAAAATAGTTAATCAAAATATCAAGAGATGCATAAAGACTCTCAGTTCCTGATCATATTTTTCACATTAAAATAAAAACAGGTCACATTGGGAACAAACCATTCAGAGCTTTGTAAACTCCAAAATTCTTCAGCTTTTCCAAATACAAAGACATGTCTACTTCTAACTTCTTCAACCCTACCTTTCATCTGAGAGCTCTGTAGCTTATCATCAAGTTCTTAATTTATTGCAGATGGCTGTTGCAGCCTTTCAAGCACTACATGCATGTGTTTCTACATAAGCATCACTGTGTCCTTTAGGAGATGTAGTAAGTTTTTTGTAAGTGCCTGGACAAAGCTATTAAGTAAGCAGGTGTTTTGATCTACTACACAATATTAGGCAATTTTGCCTAATTAATTAGGTTAGTGAAAACAGACTGGCCTTCAATAGACAGAACGGGCCCATTCTTCCCTTAAAAAGTATTATGAAATGGATTTATCAGGGAGGAGGTAGAGGAAGCAGCTAGCAAGCCACTGGAGACCTAAATACCCCACATTAGTGCTTTAGCTTTCCGAGCTTTCAAATATTAAGAAAATCTCCCATTTAGCAGTATGGCATTTGGTTTCAGGAGACTTTCAATACTGAAAAGAACCGAAGCACAGTGACATCTTTGCCAAGTCTCAAAACTTTTCCGTTTGGTGTAATTATTTCTTTTATCTCAGCTCTGCATTGTTGAATCCACACCCTATCTATAAAGGTAAACTACAAACAGATACTTTTTGAAAATCTGAAAGCTCTATTTAACCCCTAGAGCTTATAGATTCACTTCACTAGCCTTCTCAACAGCATTTATAAGCAACAACAAGAAGTAGAAGTGAATGTAATGTACTGTCAACAATTCAGCATGTACTATCAAGAACCAGTTCTGGGAATTCAGGAGCAGTGTCTGAGTTTGGGGGAGAAGAGCAGCTAACAAACAATCTGTAACATTGCTGTTTGTTTCATGTTTAAAAAGGGCTAACTACTCAAAATCAGTCACATCACTGAAGGCAAACAGTGTGAATGAGGGATTTTTAAATTAGCTTTTGCCTTGGGCTAAGAAAAGCAAGCCCTGTCTTTGAATGAGTAAACTAGAATTTTCCATTTAACCAGAATCTTCAAATCAATAATTTTCTGTTTGAACTTCACCCACCTCATGCTATACTCTAACAGTAATCTCACTTTCATTTGCAGACAAACTTTCATGCTCTTTTACCTTTCTCAGGAGGCTCAGCATTTTAATAGCTCTCAGGAATTCTGAGATACAATATTTGAAGAAAGATCAGCTAGAAAGTTACCACCTGAACTTCATTTCTCAATCTTAGAAACTTATCTCGAATAGAAAGTGCTTTTTAAATAAGGTCAAAATCAGTGAGGGCACATAGAGAATTTCTGAAACTGAAAAGCTTGGAATAAATAAAAAAGAAAAAAAAAAAGAAAGAAAAAGGCTGGGGGAAAAAAATCCATGCACTTTGGAGTCTGCTGAATCCAAGATCCAAGGTCTCCTTTATACTTTCTTCACAGAAAATATTACAATATGCCACTCTCAATATTTATTACAAGCTCAAAAATAGCCTGTGAAGTTACAAACAATTCAGTACTGTCTTCTGAGGTTAAAGGAAAGCTGGGTAAGACAGACAGCCTTGCAGACAACCAAACAGGTGAAGCTGAGTTTTTTCAGGTCCAGAGGGTTATAAGAATTCCAATTTTAAGACGTCACATATACTTTTATAAGGAATTCTGAGGAGCTGCCATGGGACAATATTCATGGTGACATGTTACTCTCTGGAGAACAGATAGTCACTTCAATGGAGTCCGGACTAGGATTCACATGAGGTCAGTATTAAACATACTGGAATATATTTTCAGCTTCTGTTTAAAGATTGTCTTTAAAAAGTGTGTTAAAAACCTTCCAAACTATTTTAATAACCTCAGAATTCATTTTTACTGACAAGAGTTTTGTGGATAAACTTCATCAAGTTTTATGAAGCTTTATTGTTTATGAAGATGGAAGTGTAGCTAGAGTGTTCTACAAGCACTTGCTGAAATCATTCAGAAGATACGAAGAAAAGCAGAGAGTGAATGAACATAATTTCTGTCAAATTCATGAACATATAATCTCAAGAGTACACATAAAATTAGTCAAGACTCTTAATCAATTGCTTGTCACCAAAAATGGAGTTGACAGTAGAAAAAAACAACCCCAGAGTTTTTAATGGAAATCATGATTGAATAAATTCAGTTTAGGGTTTACTGTTTACTTAAGCATAACAAGAGCTACAGAACACTCCTAAAAACCAACAAAAACCCCTTCTCCCCACCCATATTCCCCCAGGTCAACCCTTAAAGCTTAGAACATAGAATCTGCACTTCACAGTGCAATAATTAAAAAGATAAAAGAGCATGGCTCCTATTTGTTATTAACTAATCTCCTTCATAACTCACTCATCTTTTCATGTCATTCACATCCGTGAAAAAGCTGCAATATCAGTGCATTTGTTCTATTTTTAACACTTATGTTCTATACAGGAGACCCTGAGTTTGAGCAGTCTAAGAGGTCAATGCATCTGTTATTTGTACACCAGCAATGCAAATACTCTGAAAGCTTCTGACTTGTGTTTCAGTACTGCTACTGCTTTTAAAATATATATATATATATAAATTTCAAATACAATATCAAATGGGAAATTTGTAAATTATAAAATGAATAAGTCTTTACTCGGAGCAAAGCACTTAACAGCCATTGTCACAACGCTTGGTTGTCATAAAATAATTGTATGAAAAACATTCAGAAAATAACCTACACGATTTTGCTTCAGACATCTTTTTGAAGCATATATGAAACATTTATCCCAATGCTAAATTCAGTCTTTGTTTACAACACAGGTTCAAGTCCAAAGTTTACAGAAGAGAGAAAGAGTTTTTCAAAGCACTGAAAGGGACACAGAACCCAGCTCACCGTTCAGCAACCGAGGACTGCAAAAAAGCAGCTAGTGCTGTTGATGGTGCACATCTAAATAATTTACAGAATTAATTACTTTATAATCTGGTAACAAAAAGTATTATTAGGATGGAAGCCTGAAACTCTTCAAACAGAAAAAGAGGCATACTTATAAAACATACCTTTAGGTGACAAGGAGGTTTTAGATAAATTTAAATGTTTCAGTCCCTTAGGAAGTTTGGCAAACTGGATGCTCAAAGATGACACACCTGTTGGGGGAGCAAAGAGAAAATGGACGTTTTCAGGTTAAGTGTGTGATCTCAGGTTCTCCCAGCAATCACACCAGGGGCAAACACTTACAGGAGGAACAGCACTCACTGTTAGGGTAGGCCCAAAATGTTATGACCATAAATCTTTGAAATGACTGATGTAGTCAAGATCCCTTCTTTGCTAACCACTGAACAGATAGAAAACTTTGCTATTAGTGATCAGTGAGCCATCTTAATTAGTTTAAAAACTGTATAATGCACACATACTTTTGAGAAGAGTCAAAGGGAAGATATTGCATATGTCAAACAGTCAGCACTTGAGAAATCTAAAAGCTTTATGGTTCAGCCAAAAAAACCCCCAACCAACCCAAAAAATCACAACCACAAAATGAAACTCAACAATGGTACTTCATGAGATACTTCAGACTATTTTTATTTTCTTTTAAAAGGAAGGGCTGCCAAGGCAAGACACACCTCCACGTTAGCTAACACTGTCTTCTTTTTCTGAGGTGAACCCTAAGAACTCAAAACTTCCACCAAGTTGTAACGGCCACTTAACTCCCGTACAGTAGCCTGCAGGTTACCAGTCAGAACACAGGTTTGGAAATGCTACAACTGCTTGTGATCCCAAACAGTAAAAACCTATGAAGATGCTGACACAGGCTGGACTACTTCATCACAAATCCAACAACAACAACAACAACAACAAAACCCCCCCCAAAAAACCCGCACTTTTCAATTTTTCATTAAAGCCCTTTCTCAGTGTATCCAAGTTCCACACTCCATAAATTTAATCCCCCCATTTAAGCAAAATATTGAAATTTGATTAAGAGGGCACATCCTAAATAACAATGGAACCAATCAATGAAATATTTATTGAAGGAATAAATCACCACAGAAACTCCAGGCTTAATCTGAGGTGTGAAATAGTCCTCTACAGCAACTCATTTGGTGAGAAAAGGGCAGAGAAGGGGGTAAAGCCTTTTACCTGTTTCAAAGCACAGTGAATGAAAAAGCTGATAACCTTCTCCACATATGCAGACATGAAACAGTCTGCCAGTATGTCACATACATATGTTTTCTCTGCTTTTATCATGTTTTACCTATCATTAGCAATGAAAAAGCAGCGACATTGCAGATACTATTGTAGAGGTTTTTTTAATGCACTCCATAAAAGCACATTGTATATGCTGGTGGTAGGTGCAATGTCCATGCAGCTCAAAACAACATAGTGTGTTTTACTTATGCTGCCAAAATATTAGACTGATGATGCCTTGGCATCATTTATTGTAAAACACAATGGTAACTGGATGTCTTCACCAACTTTCAGCAAAAGTGAATCAAGTCATACTAATAGCATTTTCTTTTGTAGCTCTACTATTAAAAAAAACAAAAAATCTTTATAGCTCCTCTGAAGTAAGAGGATCAATCTTTCTTAAGCTGGGCTCAGAATTTATATTCTGTAGCTGACTGTCCACATTTGTTAAGCTGGTTTAGTCACAATATATACTTTCAAAATCAAGGTAGAGCTCTGTGGGCAAAAGAGGAGGAAAAGGAGTATAAACAGAATCATTACAGATATCACAAACATAATTTTTGTTTTGAAGCACTTTGAGTAAGACATGCAGCAAATTATTTTATCTCTCCATCTTTGTATTTAGCTAACAATCTACAGACCTCTTATTACTCTAGCCAGCGGAACAATTTTAACACCTTACCAGCACTGGACATTCAGGATCCACCCAATTATAAGATACAGGAATCAGATGCAGAAAATAAAAAGTACTTCTGGTCACTTAGGCCCTTGAATGCTCTTTAAGCCACCCATTTTTGCTCACCTCATAACAGAGATAAGAGCTCTAATTGCAGAAGTAAACTTAACTGCATCCAGGCACACAGTTCTGAATCTGAGTATTTCTAGACTTCAGTATGTTTGTTTTGCACTATTTTTAACAAAATATGAGATTAAATTTTGATTCTAGTAGAGCTAAAAGCAAAACTCTCATCACTTTAGCATGGTTAGATTTTAAAGCCAAGACTGATAATAAACTTTCCAGGTGTTAGTCTCACAAATATTGACAGCATCATAAAGTGAAGCCAATTGCAAATGAAGAGACTGGTCTCAGTGTAAAATCACTTCATATAAACACTGTTTTGTATTTGAAATGAAGCCAGGTCCTATGCCTTAATTAAACTAAACACACTTCTCATGGTACAGGAATAAAGACAGTTGCATTAATGTACTAATATAATGTCTTTACTTATTGGTACTCAATAATATATAATAGCTTATGGTAGGTTTTTTTGTTCAAACAAGGCACAACAATATGTTCTTCCCCATAAGTCACAAAATTTATGTTATTTCCCCCTATAACTGCAAAATAACCTGGTTGAATTTCCAGTTCTTTCAGAGGTGATTTTTCAAGAGATATTTTCCAAAACCCTTAAGTTTACATGAATGTCCATTACGCCAGCTTTTACTTGTGAAATGGTTACTGCCCCTTCTGTTCAATAAAGTCAAATCTATCTTGCATTTAGTGAATATCAGATCATAGGACATGTAAATCTTTCTTAAACTGAAAAGTTGCAGTATTTGCACATTGCAATTACAGTTAATTTACCTTTAAGTACTCATATAATTTAATTAATTCACTAATGAAAAGGTCAAATCTTAATTGTACATGTGATAGAAGAGACTGAGATAATGAAAAAACCTTACTAATTTCTCCAAGTTGTAGTTTCTGCATTTCATTTGTCTCTTATATGCAGATAGTGCAGAATGGTTTGAATCTACAGGTTTGTTGCACAGAAAGTACCCACACTGATACGCTTTTTTTAAAAAAAAATAAATTCCCCACAGTGTAGAATAACTACCACCTGCTTTGGTCATTTGTTTTGCTTTCAAGATAAAAATTAATTCCTTTAAAAAAACCTTTCATATAACACAATCCAAATACACTTCTTCAAAAGCAGAATCAACAATGTGACAGCCTTTTTTCAAATTTACAACACAAATTTTTGTACAATGCAGTTAGGTCTATGGCATATTATAATAATCTTCTTCAGTAAAACATTGGCTTTCATGTGATATGGATTCTTAAGGAGGGCAAGCAGTAGTCATCAGGCAAGAGGTAATCAGAAGTGTTAAAGCAATTCATGTAAAAAATTTTAAATAAAAAAATACTCTGAATAATTTAAAAACAAAAACATTTTCATACTTGTTTCTAGTCAAAAGCAAAAGAGATACAAAAGAGGATGAGAAAAAAAAACCTTCCTATCTTTTTTTTTTCCTTACTGAAACAGCAGGAAAGGAGGGACACCTACAAAACTATGTTAATAACGTTCTGAGTCAGTCGGGTTGTAATCCAAGTAAACAGTTTTTCCATTTTAAATCCTGACAGCAAATATGACTGGAAAATTTTCCCAAAACAAACCAACTAACAAAACTAAAAGCTTCACTGCATAAAATTCTTATTTTTCTTCTGGCTCAACAGGAGCACAAGACAGTCCGATCCCAGCATGCTGAGTGCCTGGAATGCCTTAAGTGAAGAAAATGGAAATCTCACATGGGCAGCACTAAAGGGTCAACTCCAGACTGAAAGAATGCAACCTAATTTTAAAAATAAATGTCTCTCGGGTGAAAAGAGAGTAGACAAGGGAGGGGAATGACTTGACTTGATATGTACTGAAATCATGCCTAGCAGTGCCTAGCCTGAGAAAAGCTGAGCTGTTCAGCTTGATTTTCCATCTTGTGGAGTTAACAGCACTTTGCTCCATAAGGATGCCAGTTATGCCAGTACTACTGAACATTGCCAAGTACTGGCAACAATACAGACCAGCACAAAGCTGAAAAAAAGAAATAGTTTCAATACCGCAAATAAGTACAGAATTCTGGCTGAAATAAAAACACAAAACCATCAGGAAAATAAAACCCAAGCAACAAAGTTGCCTGATGCTTTCAACTGATTACATTGCCAATAAAAACGCACACCACTTTATTTACTCTCTAGTCCTAAACAGTCACTGTGTTCTATCTTCCTTTAAAAGAAACCTCTCTGAAAATGTAATGAAATCTAATGAAATCCATGGTTGGTTTAAAACATTTAAATAGTTCTCAACAAGCTAATGGATATGTATAAATCAAAAAGAACAGCGATTCCCAGTCATTTGTGAACAACAGACATTTACAATAGCATTACAGACAGAACAATAGCCTATTATTCAGGCAAAGCTGAACAGAGCAGCAGTAATCCTCCCATTGCATTTGCAGAAAGAGAAAAATATAAACGTTACAGTACCTCTGTCTTCAAGTGGATTGCTAGCAAGGTTGATCGTATGGAGTCCTGAGTTGGGATTATGGGCTAGGGCACTGGCTAGTTTCTGTGCAAAATCTCTGCAAGAAAAGAAGAGAGAAAAAGACAGACTCCTGTTACCTCCTGTATCAACAGAGGCTTAAAAATATCGAGGGATTATTAGGCAGAAGTGACCTGCCCTACTGCAGAGCAGTAAGTGATTCTTCAGTTTTAAACAATACTTATCTGGCTAATTTGCTATCTTTCAAAGCAGATTATTTTAAACATTTATTTATTCTATGGCCTAAAAGACTGAAAGGAACTTGGTCAAAGCTCAAACCACTCTTGATAAAGATCTGAAGATATAAAATAAGACTTACACAGAATAACTTAAAACTCAAGCACACCTTCCACCTCCTCCATGCCACGCATGGGTGGGATATATACATCAACTTTCATACCACTACCTCCTTCACTCGCGAGCCAATCCCCTCACTTGCAGCAGCTCTCTACCAACAGTCACTCAAACAGACGGGCTTTGCAGCCTATCCAGAAGGTCAATAAACCAGGAGTATTTCTGACCTTGCAAAACAGAAGGAATAACACTCTCAAAGAACACCAGCACACTGATGAGCTGGTCTTTGCTTGCTTCTTTTTACAGTGAGAAGCATCAAAGTACATAACTGGCTGACCACAGACCTAGCAATGTGTCCCAAGAGAGATGGTGTTATATCAGTCCTATAATGCTCACAACTGCCAGGCCAGGTAGCACGGATAGCTTTGAACTAACTTTAACCAGCTATCATAGGCAGCTGCAGTAGCACGACCTACCTCTGTTTCAAATTGACTTGAGGCAACAGAACACTGCCACATCTCAGAGCGTCTTCCTGCAGCTGGACCACCACCACCCACAGCATTACATTCAAAGCTAGCCTGGGTTTTCCTACAGGACCACACTGTCAGACATGTTCCTTACATTAAGTCACGAGGCTCTTGGCTGCTACTAGCTCTAAGACCAATCCTCTGTCCTTGTACCTACTGGGAAGCTTTCATGTATTAAGGGACTAGCCGTACTGTGTGCTTTTGTTAAACCGAGACTATAGTTTCAATGTTCTTACTTCACCTAAGTTATGTTTGATTTGTACCTCAATATCTATCCCTTGAGCTTCCTTCACAGAGCTTCTTTCTCTCTCTGCCTTGAAATACAGTATCTTAGCTCCTGTAGGCCACTAGTGGAGAATTGCCAGCTACATTACTAGAAGAGTGTTAATTAACACTGCCTGTTTTCCTCAGGACACATCCTGTCTACCATAAAAGTGATCAGTCTATGTGCTGAGAATAGCAGTGGAGGTAGCTTACTCTTCCAGTCCCTGGAAGAAAGGGGAAAGCAATAGTCTCAATAGCTTTTGGTTACCTGTTGTTGCAAGCTCTCCTTGAGTACAGACATTCCAGGGAAATTTAGTTTCCCTTTGAAACTCCATGTCCTTAGATGGACCCCAGGGGTAGAAATGATTCCACTGCTGGAAATGCATGATGGGCTGCCTTTAGGAAAAGCTTATTCCCTTCCTAAGATACAAGCCGCATCTGAATACAACCACTCAACAAAAATAAATTCTGGTCTTGAATCTGAGCCACCTGACAGGCCTCAGGGTATGCTGCTTTGCTACCAGCTGCTGCTGCATTAGACTACATATGTCCTGTAGGTCCTCGTTTACATGTGCCAGCACTCTGTGCATACCCTCCAGCATTTCAAATGGTACTAGATGCCTGTGCTTAGGCAACTGAATCAAGCTCTTTATGCCTAGCCAAGAAAAATGAGGTTCTGAGATAAAAAACAAACCAAAACCTCTTTCTTCATGGGGAGTTTCCTTCTCTTCCTTTATCCCCTAAAGGATTCTGTCACTGCAGTGTTCTGCCTACACCTCCAAGCTTGTTTACAAACTCTGTTCCAGCTGTTGTCACCAGTATAGGCAGGATTACCAGAATGTTTTGGACAACTCAGGTATGTGTGAACTACTTAGCAAAGGCACAGTGAATCGACTGTCACCAGAAAGCAGAGGATTACTTATGTAGGGCACACAGGGCTTCAAGGCTCATTTTGGAAAAAAATAATACAACTTCCCCGCTCCCTGTGCAGCCTCTACCATTAGTGGAGGCATCTGGGTGACATCCCTTCCCCTTTGTCTACAATTTGTTTCAAATCCTAAATGTGTTGGTTTTTTGGGCTTCACACTTCAACCATTGAGCACGCAACTTAAGCCTGACACTTCCTATAAAGCATCAAGCTCGCTCTGCATGCCTTACACAGCCTCACTTGCCTGAACTGACAACATTCAGGCTTGGAGATAAAGCCCAAAAAAGACTCGATATAACTACACATATGGCAGAGTAAGGATATTTCACCAAGAGTAAGAACAGCACAGATATTAATCTCAGACAAATAAAACAATTCCTCAAGATCTGTCTAGACAACATCCCTGTAACACAAAGAGGATGTGTGTGGGAGGAACTACCACGGTTAGGTCCAAGGTCATTCAGAGCCCATCCAGCAGGGGAAGATGTGATGCAACGTCACTGTCAAAGGCCCTTTGGGTACCAGCAGCAGGCACCTCTCCTGTTCCCCCTCTGTTGTAGCTGGCCATTCCCTTTGGAACAGGGCTGCAGAGGATGGTGTAAAAGGCAGCAGGGACATTCTGCTCACCTGCTTTCAGAGAGTATGTAAGTGCAACAAACACATCATTTTTACCAGCTCCTCCCTGACAAGTGCTTATGGGGCCATGTCCCAAACCAAATCACAGAAATGGGTGGCTGGAGGTGGAAAAGAACAGATTAATCTTAAACTGACTCTTCTGCATGAGGAAAATATGCTCTTGCACCTGCTCAGGTTATTTCTCAAAGCACTGCTCTTGGTAGCTCTTTCTTAACCCTGGTTTGGCAGTCTGTCACAGCTCATTAAAAATCAGTAGTCTATAAGCCATGTGAAGATACCCAGTAACAACAGGATTTCCTCCTAGCAACCAGATATAACTGGGAAAATTGGCAAATGCACCCTTGACAAAAACAGAGAGACAATGCTGATCAGAGCAGATATACACCAAGGCAAAGTGCCAAACAGTGTTCATGTAGATGGGGACATAAAAACCAAAGTCACAGGTTAATTACCTGTCAAGTCTTGTTAAAACTGAAATCAGTTAATCCAGCTATGATAAGTTAAGGTAGGCAATGAGCAAAGGTAGACAATTTATCTTTTAATATCCATTATTATCACTGGACTTCATGACACAAACAGTAAGAAAAATGAGATTAAAATCAGGTGCGTATGTTTGAAATGACAGCTATAAACGGCAGTGTGCTAGTGATCAGAACATTTGGGTGTAATTCCAAACTCCACCTCAAGTCTCCTGTGTAATTTAGGCAATTTTCTTTTAAAGGTATTTCAATGCAAAATCCATTTTAAAAAGGTGAAAAAGACCCAAACAATGGAAGAGGAGACAATGTAAAGCACACCAAATATCTTCTCTGCGCTTGTTTCTCTTCTTTATTTTTAATTCAGTATCATGCTCTGCTTCTCCCACCTTCCCATTGCTTTTTTTTATTACCATAAAAATTCATTGTCACTAGACTTTATCATGTCTACATGGTCTTGGATGCTACTCTAAAACAAGTTACAAATACTTTCAACTGGGCTAGTTTTTACTGTGAACTTTGCTTCTATTTCCTGTGAAGGGTAAAAAAAGCAAATATATAGTAACTACAACTTACTGCATTTCAAACCTATGCAAGGATTAAATTGTATGGCTTACCTCTATGTACCTTTCTTTTAAGGCTATGGCAAGGCACTAAATTTGATTACCTACTTTCCTGCTTTAAAAAAGTTGCTAATTGCAATTCACAGTGACACAAAACCAGCTCTCTTGGGAATGAAAATATAATCTGTTATGCAAGACAGAATAATATGCACGTTTTAACAAAACCTCAAGCACTGTTTTTAAAAAAAATAAAAAGGTTTTCATACTTCCATTGGCAACTGTACTTGGAAAGGAACAGTGTAAACTGATTTAGGGCTTATGCCCTTATTTGATCCATTTTGCTCCATTTAACCCAACTCTCCAGGCAGAATCTTAAAAAAAATCACTTTAAAGGGATTTCCTGGACGTAAGAAGCATCTGAAAAACCTGATGATAAGCTTGCAACTACAGGCTCCGCAGAACAAGGTAGACATCGAGCATGAGACTTTTTTAATCCTTATTCTGTTTAACACACATCACACATCACACATCCTTTTTGCTGAGAGTAAGCAGTAACTAATGCAACATTTCAAAGGAATTACTTACGTTCTAAGCCCGGCGTTCTCTAATACCAGTTCTTCCAATCGATTGGACCTACCCACCACTCGCAGTATCTGCTCACAGACATCAGTGGACTGCCACAGAAAAGACAGAACAGCGTTAAAGAACACAAACCTGGAACAGGTGGTTATTGAGTTATAAGCTGTACATTGTAATGGGATCCAGGCCATGACCATCTTCTTGTCATACATAAATAGCAAGTAAAAATAACAGAAACATCCAAGAGAGTCAGGTGGCAACAGAGGAGTTCTGGAAAAGACTCAGAGAAGCAAGAAGCAGACTAAACCCAAGTCATTTATGAATCAGGTCACCTAAACATAGGGGGGCAGAAGTTTTATAATGCTAGTAAAGAACCCAAACCCTGTGATTAAGAAAAAAAACCACTGAATTTTTAAAGAAATCTTGTTCATGTGCACGCTAACCCTTCAGAAGAAAGTAGCAACTAGTGCAAAGGAGAATAAAGCCTGACCAGGAATGACAACTAAACACAAGGAAAGATGTAATGCAGACAAAAAAATGCCCAAAACCCTCAAGAGCAAAAGCACTCCAGCTACAGGTCCTACAAAGATCACTAAGGAGTAGTGCTTAAGGGCCACCATATTTCAGTATTAATTCTCCCCATCTGCATAGAAGTAAATCCATCTCATCACCTTACTGTTGCTGGATTCTAGAATTTGCAGACATTTGGAAGTACCATGAACAAAACATAGTAACAAAAGAGTTCATTTGCTGTGCTTAATCAAATAGACAGATAAACCTTAATGATTCAAAAGCCATACAGTGAACTCTGTACCTTATCACCTTTTAGTATAATCTTTTATATCACTTCTGGATTTGCTTTTTTTTTTCTCAGCACACACTAACCAACGTTCATGTGAAGTCCAAAGCTGAATTTCAGTCATGACCATTAAGTGCTGAAACTATTCTGTTATCTGCCTTTAAAAACAACAATGTGACATTCATATCTGGGATATCTGCATCTCTAATGACAGTTTGCCATTTTCTAGGTCTGGAGGGTTTTTTTATTTTTAATTTTAAACAAATTGAATCTCCTAAAGAGAAAAAAAAAACAACCTTGCTCTATCACACATGTAAAATCTTATTAATCCTTTAAACAGTAAAGGTGACAATTTTTTTGCAGACTGTCAACTCAGCCATCTTCCCAATTCTATCTTTGCCTTCCATAGTTAATAATTCAGAATATTATCACAATGCTTCTACAGCAGTGCGATTGCAAATGGAAAGTTACAAGCATGTACTATAAAAACAATATGGATACCGTCTATCAAGCACAATGTCAGAGTGGGACTCATGAAGCACAAAGCGTTAGTGGCCTCCAGGTATGTCTGACCTCATACTGACCCTCAGCAGTGTCCCTATGGCATAGATTTACTGTCCAATAATTTACATTTTCCTGGTGTTTTTGACTGTAAATTGAATGTGTGGAAGATAAAGTTGTTAGGTTTTGGGTTTTTTAAGGAGCAGATGTATTTTCAAGACTGACAAAGTTTATTTGTTTTCCACAGAAAAGTTGCTAAGAATGAGAAAAAAAAAAATCTTTCACTTTAAAATATCTCAGATAATACAGCTGGTTCTAAGCAAACTGCACTGGCCAGTCTTCTCACTAAGCAAACTATCTCATTTCATTGAAGCAGAAACTGATTAATTGCATTGTACCTTTTAACAATGGTGATTTTAACAGTGAACTACAACACGATTAAAAATACCCCCAGTTCCATTCCATGCATAATTTTGAGTAAGATGTCCCAGGAAGAAAGAAAAAGTTTTTGCCTACTCTTCTGCCAAGAATCACATAAGCTAACTGCTACTAAATTTTCATGGAAAATGATAGGTTAGGAATGCGATGAGAGCATTTTCAGATCAATAAAATTGCATCAATTTAAACAAGATGAGACTCAACCTTCATTTTTAAGGACAAAAGATTTTGGATGCAGGTGTGAAGCAATTTCTCAAACTGCTAACTCTACCTGTGACTATAAACTTTCAAGTTCAGAGAAATAGTATATTGTGTTATATTTAAAATGTCACTTAATTACTGATTTTCTTGGCCCTTTCTTCAGTAGTCCAACTTGTTTAGATTTGTCTTCTTTTTGCGTTTCAGAAAGAAAACTGATGTGGAAGATATCGACATCACACATCACTACATACTAATGCACAGGGTTAGTTGGCTTCAGAAAATTGGGAGAAAAAATCATCAAGTAGCAATGAGAATTACAAGAAAAACCTGCTTTATATGCAAGGAAAAAATGGAATCCTGATATTTTCTTTCCACCTCCAAAAAGCAACTGAGATTTAGGGCCTCTTTAGAATTAGTTTCCTATTTAGTCACACAATACTGTTTGGGGGAGCTAGCAAGGCCTAACAAAGTAGTTTTGTGGGGTACTGTTATTGACCAACAAAGTTTTAAAACCATTTACTTGAAATTTTGACACTGATTCTCAGCAGTGTTTCTATGGTATGAATTAACTATCCAACAGTTTATATTTTCCTGATGCAATTAAGGAGAAAAAAAAATTTCAAAAGATTGTCCGGTTCCACTTGCCTAAAAAATTTCGCCTTGAAAACTGTAATATCATCCTCTAAAACACAGCACAGACCAGTAGAAGCAGATATACTGTTTCAATTTATTACTTACTAATTTCAGATCCTTGGATGACAGCTTTGTAAACCACTGATTATACTCCAGAGCAGCAACTATAGGTATTAAGTCTCTAGAAAAAGAAAAACACTTTTACACACGTTTCATGAAACTGTTGGCTTTGGTCATTTGAAACAATCTCTTAAGGGTTCTTACATATTTAATTTCCCATGTGTTTGCAATGATAATTGCCTACCATCCCCATTATAGAAAGCTCTGCATTCTAAAAACTGAGCATCACCACTATCTGTGTGTCTTTCTCGTATTTTCATACAAATTTTTGACTGGCCAACTGACATGCATTCTAGCATGAATTTTTAAACCAGGAATTTGTCTGGGCTGCCATTCTTACTTTTAGCATTACTTTTTCTTCAATCTGTGACATATTTAAGCTTCTTAATCATCTCTAATTATAATTGAGCATGACACTAAAAAGGTTTTTGGCAGTCTGATGATTTAATATAATTCCATGATTGAATGCTTCTAGAGAACACCTCGTCTCAACTCTATAGTAAAATTCCCCCAGGAAGCAGGAGACCTGCAAAAGGATAATGCAACTCTTATCACAAACTCTCCTTAATTGTAAAAGAGATTTCACAAATGAAATTCTAAATTATTCCCATTTTCTTCATTCCAAGCCGCTTAATGTGATCTGTTCTCCCTTTGTTAAGTTTCTCCAATAGCAGACATTGATAAATGTCATGTCCATATGCTAACCCCAGCAGAATTATCCATCAAGCACTAGCATACTATTTAGTAGCACAGCACTTGGATCATTTTGACACAACATGTTAAATACATAGTTACACCTACACTTGGACTTTACTTACAAAGCCCTTGTCTTTATAGAAGAGCTGTAAAATAAGTGAACTTATTCGACCAGCAAAGTAGTGCCATCTAAGCCTCAGTTTTTGCAGGGAGAAAATTAAAAGCATTAGTTTTTATAAACTAGTCCCACTCTCCCAGCTTTTTATTCAGGACATATGCGAGTAGGCATAGATCTACACTAAACAAGCAGCACCCTTCTGACATCTTCGTTTCCTTCTTCCTCTCCTTCACTTTTCCTCCACAACATTTAGACACTTCAGGGTGGTTGTTAAACATGTAGGAAAGCCAGGAGACAAGGCAACATCATATGGGCAAGCCTTCAGCAGGCTATATTGGGAACTGCAGTTGGTAGATTTGGAAGTACAAGCCCATCACTAAGGTAACAGTAAGAAGGTGTGGCATTTTTCAGCACAAGACTGTATGTAGCCTACCAACTGCGAAGCTCATGCAAATAGATGGTTTTCACACTCCTGCAAAGGAACTAGCGTGTGGTGTCCTTCAAGGATTAAGCCTGTTTTCCATCTTGTTCACAGCACACATCAAGTCTCATGGTGAATTCATTCCCACTGGCACAGTACAGTCTTACCAGCTTCATGAAGTGTACAGATCTATTTCCATCCACCACACTGTTTTTGTTCCTACACAGATAAACTTATCTCCATGTAAAGATGTAAAGTGGTAATTGCCTAGTGAAATGTTAGCGGCGTGGGGGGAAACAACCCAGAGGTATTTTCCCCTTAGGCTGGGCAGGCAGGAACTTTGCTATGGAGTAAGGAATGTCCACATGGAGGTTTATTCCTCCTTTGCCTGCCCCTGGAGCGATCGGTAAGAAGGTAATGAATTAGCAGCTTTGATGTCCCTCTTGCTAGTGCCTTTGCCTTGAAAGAGGAATGAAAGCAAGAGTAATTTTTCAAGCGTCATTTTGTTTTATGCACCCAGGGGTAGTCAGCCACAGCTGGTGGTGAATGCTGCAGGGCAAATGTTGGACAGGCTGATGGTACCACAATCACACTGGTGGAGCAGAGCTGTTTACGCTCTTGACCACCACCCCCAAAAGCAGAAGAAGGCACAACCAGCAGATGTATTTCGGCTGTCACCAGCAGCACCAGTTCCTCCAAAGGAAGAGAGGGACGACAATCTGGGATCACTGGTTGCAAGTGTTTATACTACCAGGGGGCTGGTAAGCCTCCTTGGAGGGCTGGCAAGAGCTCAGTACCTTCTGGGCAGGAGAACAGCTGCAGGCAAAACTTGCCTGAGGTTGTCCCTTTCCCCCGTCTCCTCCCCAGACCTCGGAGGGAAACAGCTGAAGGACAGGGGTGCTCAGAATTAGCAGGAAAACCATCACACTTTCAAGAAGTTAAGAAACATTGCTGCAGCAGGACAGGAATATTTTTAAACAAATCAACGCAGCTCATTTGCAAATTCTCATCTTTAAATAGTTTAGTCTTCTGCAATATTCAAGGCCTGTTTGTTCAAGCCCCAGACAAGCACAGACACTGGCACCTTCAGTAACACCAACTGCTAACCCATACATACATGCACACAGAATCACAGTATGGCAGAGGTTGGAAGGGACCTCTGGAGATCATCTAGTCCAAACTCCCTGCCAAAGCAAGTACATCTAGAGCAGTTTGCACAGGACTGCATCCAGATTGCTTTTGACTATCTCCAGAGAAGGAGACTCCATAACTTCTCTGGGCAGTGCTCTGTCATTGTCAAAGTAGTTTTTTCCTCATCTTGAGATAGAAATTCCTGTGTTCCAGTTTATGTCCATTGCCCCCGGTCTTGTCACTGAAAAGAGTATGTCCCTATCCTCTTGACATCTTGCCCTTTGGGTATTTCTAAGCATTAATAAGACCCCCTCTCAGTCTTCTCTTCTCTAGGCCAAACAGACTCAGGTCCTCCTCTTATAAGGAAAAGTCCCCTAAACATCTTTGTAGCCCTCCACTGGACTCTCCAGTAGCTCCTGGTCTTTCTTGAACTGGGGAACCCAGAACAGGACACATCTTTCCTTCCCATGTGCCTGAAGGCAGTGGAACCTCTGCCTATTCTGCAGTAGCCTTACCTTCTAGAAACGTTACTTTAACAGATTCTACCATCTGGTTTAAAGGAGAAGCTATGTAGTTTAGTCTTTTTTTCATTTTGTTCAAATTTTTGAAGGTGCTTCTGACCAATGAGGGTCCTTTAGGAATTTACCTCTACTTCTCTTGCTCTGAGCTTGCCTAATCTCAATGCACTTGTTATTGAGTTTTACTTTTCAAAATTATATACTGTTTTATTCACTTTATTCTATTAAATTCTAGATGTGGTACTAACAATGATCTGAATTCTTTTGCAATGTGGTATGAAAGAACACTAATGACCATTTCCAAAAGCAGGGCCTTCTCATAACTTTCCCTCACTGAGTTATTTTGAATTGCTTATATTCATTAGTTTGTTTACTAAATTGCCATCCATAATAAAGGAAGATTTACAAAATGAAAATCTGTGCCATCTTAAAATGAAAACAGATTCTGTCCTTCTGGAATGCAGAAAATCTCTCCAAGCTTCAGCAACATTAAAGTCTCACTAATACCTTCATGTTTTTTCAACATCTCTGTCCTCCAGTGTATTTAAGGTGGCAAGAAATTTAAACAGTGCAAAAAAAAAAAAAATCTAACCAATCACATTTTTCTGACAATTTTTTCAATGTCCAAATATGCAAAATCATATGCTACATAGATTAAAATCATGCTACTGAGTTAAATAAGCTTTTTTCACTTTGAGTATTTTTGTTGTTGTTAAACAATTATATGGTTCACAGCACAACATAACTTCAGATAAACCCTCAAAAGTCATGTTCCCATGTGGCAAGTCACGCTATGCATTCTAAGTGTCAGACACTCTGTGAACTTATTTCATATAGAATTCATCTATAATTCATGCTATCTTATGTTGACCTCTAACAGAAGTGCTATACTAGAAAAAACACAAATTGTTTATTTTTGCAATGCATAGCCCCTGTATCTAGAGAACAGGTGACCCCATCCTACCTCACTTCAGAGCTACTCCACAACATGAAGTGCATAGTTTCAGCAATCCCAAAAATTAGGCAGACAAGATGTACAACAGTCTCCCAAAATCCAAAGCATGATGGCATATTGTTAATTTATAGCATTCTCACTGTGCTAAATTGCATGCATTCCTGAGTTGACTGGGATCTCAGGATTTGTATTTTTAATTAATAACAGAAGGTAAGGGTTTTGCTTCCTAAAAAATTTAGTTTTCTTGACATTTCAATCCAAAAGCTTTTCCTCAGTTCAGTCCTCAACACTGAAGAAACTCCCGTCACAAGATCTATTCCATTGCTTGTAAATGGCTCCAAAATTGTTTTGAATCTTTGGACTTACACATTCATAAGACATTTAGTAAAGACTTTTATTAATAACACAAATATATTTCCTCAGTGTTGTCAGGCTTGTAAGGTATACTTCAATGAAAAGCTTTTGTGAAGCAGCAAACCCATTATTCTGTTTTCCAAAGGCCAACTCATTTGAACCAGCCATGATATTCAAAATAGTTAAAACACTTCTTCTCTCTACTCTTTCCTAATAAGTAGTATTTTTCACTCCCAATAAATTGTTCAAACATATAATTTCTATTGAAGCTGGGTATCTGTAAGTCACTTGCTCAAGAATGCCCCATGGTCTTCTCAGCACTTCCACCCTGCAATAGGTTTAAAGCATTCTTATGTTCTTGTCCCACATTTGCTTGTACTGAATAGTATTCCTTTCCCTATCACCTCAGCAAGGCTTAACGAACCAACCAGTCTTTGCCTACATCTATCATGCACTAGTTGTGGTCCTGTAGTCTTGTTTGAGTTACCTCTGAATTAGTCAGCACAGGTACAGCTTATTAAATTTGCCATGGGATTCAGTGAAGACTGTGAAAACCCATCACCGAAGCTGAGGAAGTATTTGAGTGGGGTTTTTTGCAAGTTTACATACTAGATTGCTTAAGGCTGCAGAGAATGCTGTGGCAAAATACTCTTATTTACCTACCTCCAAGTTCAGCCTTCCTGTTATAATACTTTAATATTGTACCTCTGCCAGATTCTTAATTGTTCCACTGGGCTTTCCCCAAAAAACAAATGCTTTCTTTATCTTACTTAGTTTCTTAAATTTGTCATTTTCCTTGTATAATGATGGATTTTAGTTCAGACTCCCTCCCATTTCCTCCTACTTAAATATCTTCAGATTCAACTTTCTTAGAATCCAATTTTCTCAGCCAGCTAAATTCAGAAAACCAAATACAACACTTAGCGCTAAGTTTCAGCATCTCATGGTAAATTAGCTCCTTTCTGGAAGTACACATTTTTGATAGCATCTATTGTACTTGGAGAAACTACTGGCTGGGACTCATCTGAACAACTTAAACTTCTACTGACTTGCTGAAAAAAATAATTTCCTTTACTGTGTACACCACGAGAAAAAGATTATGCATAAGTAAAGACTGCATAATTTCCTTTTTTGCTTTGCCTACCAGATGTAGCTGCATGTTTTCTCTGCTGAATTTGAGCTCTTATATCAGCCATCACAGGAAAAGTATCTATCTGCTAACTTTCTGGAGTGCTTCCAACAGCAAAATATATTTATCTTCTCAGGCTCCTCAATGAAATGTGCTCTCCATGCGGCTTTTGTGCAAAAACAGCAGCTTTGTGCTGAAAACTAAAAATGCCACAGATGGTCATTTCAGAGGCCTACACATTCAAGTAACAGCTATGGGATCATCCCACTCTAGCAAGCACGGGCAAACCCTCTTGCAAGGGGGAACAAGGAAAGTTTGCAAAATATTACCATGATTACTGCATACTGTTTACCTGTGGTCAAGGTGGCTGAAGTCTTGCAAATTCAACTCTCTGGTATCTTGTGTCAGATAAATTGTATCGACATCCTGTTAAAAATACAAAACCAAATACATCTTTATAGAGAATTTGTTTTTTTCAAGCACTATGTTTTACCTGTTCTTTCATCATTTGTACACTTAGTTCAAAAGAGTTCCAGAATAATACATGTACTTACCCACTGTACTTCTTCTCTATAGGGAAATCCAAGCCAATCACAAACACATGCATACATCTGCGAAAAGCCTCCTAAAAACAATATAAGAGAGTATTTAACATAATAGTAAAACAAGCAAACAAACAAACATCTAAAACAATAATATACATTTTAGATTTAATAACAATTTAATACTTATACTCAAAGTTCCAGTCTTTCAAAACTCACTCTCTTTTTCTCTCGGAAGGGTGTCCATTGTGCTGCTGAAAGAAACTGAGGCTATCGTGTCTTTGCTCAGCAGGTTGCACGAAAGCTTAAAATAGTGCCTTCACCTACCAATCAGAAGTCTGTTCCATGCTAATTACACCTTAAAACTAATTGCACCTTTACAAGCTTCTGCCAGAAATAGAATTAAACTTCCCAACACTGCAATTCCAGCCTTTTTATATTTGAGCCTTTAAATTCATTCTCACCACAAGGTCCAAGTTCTGCCACTGTCTGACTGTCCCACAGGGCCTGGAGATTAGCCAGTCTTTCTGAAGGCTCCATAGTTACCTTTTTCAGAATCCTCCTAGATGCAAAGGAGGGAAAAAATAAATCTTTCATGACTTTGAAAGTATGTTTAAATTCATAAACCTTCTTTATTTCAAGTACGATTTTAAATGAGTGTATAGGAAGAATTATAATCTTTAATACAACTCACTTTTCTAGCTGAAAGTCACACACATAGTGATGCAGCCCAGGAGCAGTAAGATTTATTTTTCTCTACTTTCTTTCTAATGATTAACTCTGTGACAACTGGAGCAACTAAGCCCTTTTCTATAGCAGGATCACTCAAGCTAAGAAGATTTATGGCTCTAATCTAACACAAGGATGCTCAAAATAGGGGAGAGACTTGTTATTATTGGTTACCCTGAAACCACTACTGTTTATACATCACTTTTATGCAGTAAAAGCACTACGGTGCGAAGAGCCACAGAGCATGCTGAGTGCTACACGTGACCTCTGGGCTGCACTCCAGATACCTGCCCTGGTGTTGCTAGGATAGAGTTAATTTTCCTCTCAGTAATTAGAATAGCTGTGTTTTAGTTTCAATGTAGCACTTGTTATGAGAAGAACATTGATATAAGTACTAATGTTATTAATTGCTGCTGGAGCTCAAGGCCACCGTGTTTGGCTGCTTCACAGCTGCATTAGGACTGGGAGGGAGAAGTGTAGTGAACAGCAAAACCCCAAACTGGCATTTGGATGTGCCAATGAGATATTCCATATCATATCCTGTCATGGCAGTACATTAACCAACGTGGGGCTTGAACCCACAACCTTGAGATTCCAGGGTTGACTGGAAGACAGGGGTATTCTCTCAGGGATCGCTCAGGTTCGCTCTTCTGGGGTTTTGGTTTTGGGACTGTCTCTGCTCTGGGATCGCTGGCTGGCACAGGCTGGGCTTTGGTCAGCAGGTGGTGAGCAACTGCACTGTGTATCACTCAGTTGTATATTCTGTTATCACTGTTGTTATCATTATCATTTTACTTTAATTAGTAAATAGTTTTTATCTCAACCCATGAGTCTCCTTGCCCTTTTCTTTCCAATTCTCTCCCCTACTCCCTAGAGGGGGTGGGGAAGGTAAGACAGCAGGCTGTGTTTGGCTGCAAGGTGCAAGCCAGAAGAGTGAATCCACCCAAACGGCCACAATACCCAGCTCCAATCTTTGTAACTTGGTAGTGTTCTTCCTCCCCTAGAAAGAAACACAATCCCTTTCTGCCTTTTAAGAAATGAAATTATCTGTTCTTCTGAATGACAAGACTGCCTCAAACTGCAGAATTCTCTAAAATGGAAAGGGAAGAATTATTAAGAGATATTAATGGGAGAAACCTCTTTGCTGCTTTTTGCTTGTTCTGGTAGCATCTGCACAACTCCAATGTCTTAATTTTGGAAAATTGCACCATCAGAGAAGAGAGCAAGAAATTTTATTTCTTTTCTGGGAAGCAAGCACTCCATACAGCTACCCAAGCTCCAGCAAGGTTATCAAGGAAGTCCAGAGGCAGTATGTATAGAGCTCCAGGCCTTCACAGACACCAAGGCAAACACACATAGCCTTGCAGCCCTCTTGTATGCATGCTTTTTGAAGGAAAAGCTTGATCTCCATTAAGGCAGTTAATAATACTGCCACAGAGGAAATCCAGAAGTTAAAAAAACAAAACAAAACAAAAACGTGCCAGTTGGAGTTTATTAAATTGATTTCATACTCTACCTACAGGAAAGGTGAATAATAAAGACATGCACCCAAAATAAAACATGTAAATTTAGCCTCACCATTCACATCTAATGTCTGTTACAAAATTCACTTATAAAAATCAACATATCTGGGAAAACTCTTTTGCAGACTCTATTTTCTCTAATACTGCTGAAAACCAGGAGCTGAAGAGAGTAATAGTAGAGCTGCATGATCTAGTACAGTGTGATGATGATGAGGTAAGGACAGAGAGAAAAAAGAAAAGAAAATAAAGAAAAACTACTGAGAATTGCTGCACAATGATAAAATTCAGAGGCACAGATATGAGAGAAAAAAAAAGGCAAGAGCAATGCAGAAAGAAACAACAAAGCTAGAAAAGGAGACATATGATCCAAAGAGCCAGTTAAACCATGGAAAGTATATGGCAAGACTGCCCAGGGCTCGGTTTTGAAGAACAAGGCTCCCAATCATATACATCATTTCACAAACACTGAAAGTAACCAGAACTTTTCCCTCCTCTCTCAACTCAGATTTTACTTCTGGGGGAAAACAAAACAAAACAAAACAAACCCAAAAGGAATAAATTACAACAAAAAGCCAGAACCTAAGCCATACCTGAGGTTGGAGAAGCAACAAGGTAAAATGAAAACTTAAGACTCTAAATACCTGCATTGCCCCTTCAAAACGAAGGCTCTCGTAACCCTACAGAGCACACACAGTCTGCCTGTGCTCTGCACTGCCTCCTGTTCTGCCACACACCAGGACAAAAGCTTAGTGCTTGCCTCAAGGTGTTACTCGCATCCTCGGTGCATTTCTGAGGTCATGGAGGGGAGACCAGCGGACAAGAAGTGGTGGCTTGTCACCATTCCCACACAATCTATTCCCACTAGACGTGCCCTCAAATATGCTTACACTGGCGAGAGTCCAGGGAATATCTTCCTGAGGCAAGTCCCAATGTGCGCCAGTACCTCGTTCACATCCTCCGAGGATGCCATCTTCATGGAGATGCTGCATTTCTCAGTTTCCATAATCAACTATAAATAAGACAGCATGAAGGCAAGAACTGGGTATCATATTCATATCCATTTAAAAAGGAGAGCATTTTTGAATGCCAGCCAAATGCTTTGTGTGCTGGTAGGAATCTGTTATTCTTTAAGACATGACACAACAATGCTCCAGGTAAAGTTTCTGAAAGTTGTTCTTGAATGTACAAGACCCTCGTACTCAAATTTTGCTTTTCCTAACAGTGCCCTGCTTCCCACGAGAATAAAGTTTTCAACAGATCTTGACCTCAGCTGACATTTCAAAAACCAAGAAATTTTCACAGCATTGTCCTCTTTTGAAACATGTCCTAGAACACCAGAAGTGAGTACAACCTGACAGGAAACTATTGAATGGGCAGGGCCTGCTTCCTCCAGCAGAAAGTAAAAGTCTTTAATGGCTGTGATTCTCTGGAAAAGCTCTAATGTTTTGATCTATGACATTTAAGAAAACACTTGGCTGCACCTTGAGTACTGCGTTCAGTTTTGGGCCCCTCACTACAAGAAGGACGTGGAGGTGCTGGAGCGTGTCCAGAGAAGGGCAACAAAGCTGGTGAAGCGGCTGGAGAACAATTCCTGTGAGTAACGTCTGAGAGAACTGGGGTTGTTTAGCCTGGAGAAAAGGAGGCTGAGGGGGAGACCTTATTGCTCTCTACAACTACCTGAAAGGAGGGTGTAGCGAGGTGGGTGTTGGTCTCTTCTCCCAAGTAACAAGTGACAGGACAAGAGGAAATGACCTCAAGTTACACCAAGGGAGGTTTAGATTGGATATTAGGAAGGATTTCTTCACTGAAAGGGTTCTCAGGCACTGGAAGGGGTTGCCCAGGGCAGTGGTAGAGTCCCCATCCCTGGAGATATTTAAGAGTTGTCTGGACATAGTGCTTAGGGACATGGTTTAGTGGGGGACTTGTCACTGTTAGGTTAATGATTGGACACCATGATCTTAAAGGTCTTTTTGAGTCTAGGCAATTCTGTGATTCTGTTACAGTAATATATTGCCTCAGTTCAGATGTAGCAGTAACTCACTACTAACATAACTGTCCCACTGTCTGGGGCACAGGTGCTTCAGCAAGAGGGGAAAATAAAGCCTTTTGCAACCCATCTCTGTTATATATTGAGTGTTCAGAACCAAATCAGATTATGGTAAGACTGACACATCAGGTCTGCTCCCCTCAGCTGTATTGCAGGAAGCAATGTAGCGTTTCTGCCTTCTCCAGTGTGAATATTTAGCACAGCCCAAGTCATAAACTCTGAGATGAGGAGCTGTGCATACACAGTAAGAAGTTAACATTAGGAACAAGTAAGAAATGTAGATTCACAGTACAAGAGGGCACACTGCACAGTATACTACAGAAGACTGGTTTTTATTGAAACTGGTTCCCAGGACTCTCTTGGTTCCCAGTTCATGTCTAGGGTCATGCACAGGATAACTCTCAAAGAGGCTGTATTATCCCAAAAGCATACTGAGAATCTTCACACCTTTTCCCATCAATTCAACTCCTTTCTGAACCTGTTGCCATCACTCCTTGAAGATGAATGAGTGGGCAGGTTACTACTGTTTTTCACTGTCACCAATATTAACACGACATTTCCCTCTATTACTCTGTCCATTTGTTCATTTATCTTACAGTGGGAAGGCTCTTCTTGGCTTTCTGCGAGATGCCTAACACAAGACTATGTCCTTCAGGCATCAGGGATACAACATGCTGTATGCAGGGAAACTGCAACAAATACCATTTGCCCCTCAAGCAATACTCTAGGATTCCACCTGTCTTCAGCTATAAGTCTTACATGTTTAAAACACAAATGACTGTAAACATGCAAAACCTTAAAAAAATATTTTAGGCAAATAGTATGCAAAGTGAGGCTGCTGGAAACCCTGCTACAACAGTGATTGTCCTTGCTTCCAGGAATAATTAGCATTAGCTACCATGGCATTTTAGTACCTTAAATAAATAAAGCCACAAAAACATACACAGAATTTACTAAGTGTCTCTCCATTAAAATAGTAAACATTTGGACCTTTTTTTTTTTTTTCCCCTCCTTTAAGGAAAGCTTCAAAAGCCAGGTTAAAAAGATGACATTAAACACAATGAGAGCTTTTCAAAGTTCAAATAAAGTGTCAGATGCTCCTATTTTTAAAAAGCTCTTTAAAAGCCAAACACACATGAAACACATGAAGACTCTGATACAATTTGATTGTCAAATCTTGACAACATGTTTATCTTATGAATGAAAAATGTATTAAAGGCATGCTTCTTTTCAGCACCTTCTCTTTGACATTCCCTTTTTTGGGCATATAAATTGCTGTCAAATGTATTTTGTGTTATATACAGTAATGGCACCAAGAATAGTTGGAAGCAAACAATTTCTGTCTGCAATGTAAGCAGCAGCTTTTGGCTTCACCATAAAGGTATACGACACAAAAGCCATTCAAGCTTGCATGGTGATGATTATATACCAGCCACTGTTGTTTTATCATCTCTCAGAAAAATCTTCACTTATGAGACAAATGAAAACTTGTATATTGAACTAGGGAAAAAAAAATAATTTTTATCATTATCCCACCTGCACAACACATTCCTAAAACTGACCCTAAATTCTTACCATTATTGTTAAGACTTTAAAGCATCATGAATGCAAGAATGTAAATGTACAGGATGGGGACACCTGCATGTTAGAGCATTACCTCCTTGACTGGAACACATTTAGCAATGAGTAAACAAGTATCTTTTATCTAGAATACACTCACCTGACCGGGTTTACTGGAAGTTACTCCTTGGATTTCCAAGTAGCTGAAAGTTAGTTCTAACTGCAGTTAAAAAAGAAAATGCCACATTAGTGCAAACATCTTCTTAAAGTGCACTTAGGTTTTTCATTGAGGCTAAGAAAACCTTGAGAAAGGCTGCTGTTATTTCAATAAGAAGTCAATTATTATAGGAATAACACATTGTACCTTTTATTGCAAGCTACAAGCACTTAAGTTTATAATAAAACTTATGACAAAATTTTACTAGAGAAAACGTATTTTATGCAATACCTTACTGATGTGTACTCTTGTGACCAAATCACTAATTACAACACTTACAGCATCACATATGAACTCTTTAATTAGTTACACTGATCACAGATGTGAAAAATTTTAGTGCACAGAAATTGAAGGGGCATGTACACACCATATATATATACATACATACATATATATATAAAAATAAAAATAACATAGATAGGTAGATAGCTACAGATATATATAAATGCTCAAGACTGCTTTAGCATGCCTAAAAGCATGAGAAGAAATAATACACTAGTTTTGCCTGAGTGGGTTATCTGGATGACAGTCAGGACAGGCAGGGAAGAAGGGTGAGCATACTGAATCCAAATGGAAGCTTAGAGGAAGACAGGAAAGTCCTCTTCTCCAAGGACAAATCTAGGGCTACAGGGAGTGTTCTAAGATCTGAATTCACAACTACAAACATCTTGACAGCTGAGATATGCAGAAAGAAACAAACCTCTTGGATTGAATCATAACTACAGGACAAGACATTTGCATGGTCATGTCCTTTCATTTATCATTAAAACCATTGTAAATGAGCAGTTTGTTTGAATTGCACAAAGTTTCCTGCACTTTATCTTATCCTAGGTTGAGTCAGGGTGCTCTCAGGCTAACTGGCAAACACCATTGTATTCTCTCTCTGTATTTGTGTCAGTCTGAAAAGATGACCCTGAACAACTCCTGTGGTGCTCAGAACCCAGATGCAGCTCTCAAGACTCTGTCTCCACAAAGGCTGCAACAGCACATCAGGAAGTCAGGAACAGAGGTACCAGTTTCCAACCCTAAGAACCAAAAAGTTTTCCAGAAAGCAGTAAGATAGTAGGGAGAGCTCCTAAATGCCAAGGTCTCACTGGCAAATCTATAAGCAGTCATGAACAGAATTTAGGGGGGGTGGTTAATGAAATAGAAAAGCTTTTTTTAAACACTTTGCTCTATTATCCACTCACAGCTGCAGAGACTGAAGATGTTATTACTGCTTATTTGTTTTTTGTTGCCTATTTTCTGAAACCTTTTCCCTTCTGTTATCCCCATGATTTGACAGCATCACAAGACACAAGCATCTCTCAGCCATTTCTGTGCAAAGTCCAACATCTACCAAAGACCTAACTTAGTAAATAAAACTTTACTCTGAAGTTTTCGAGGAGCCTTCATGTGCTTTTTGCTTCGCTTATTCTGCTGCGTGGGCAGAATCCCCCAGCAAACAGGCAGTTTCAGACCACAGGTGCCATCGCAGCTCAGACAGGAGAGAGGCAGAACCAGTGCAAGCATCTTCCCAGTGCCTATGCTGGCACCTTGCATTTTTCCAAGGGTAAGGCACTCACTTCTCTTCAGGCCTACACAGGGCTGAATTTCTCAGCTAAGAGGGCAATCTTTTGCACTGACAGGACACGGCCCTGTGCAGTTCATTCTGGCCAGAAAGAAAAAAACCCCAAAAAGCCATAGTAGCTCTTGCTCACTTCTGGAGTAAACCAGACTACATGTATAGAAGTGAAAGGCTCTTTTTCTCCAGTGCTAGTCAACTTAAGCAAACATATGAGACTATCTAACATTTGTTTAGCCAAATCACAATGAAAATTTAGGGAAAAGTTTCTATGATTGAATCCGTCCTATTTTGCAAATTATTTACCTACCAGATCAAAGGTTCTGCTCTTGCTAATGCAGCTTGTATGTGCAAACATATACATATATGTGCACATGAACAAAAATACTTTTCTACTCCTGAGAAAAGTTTACACAGGTCCAGACTCAAGAATTCATTCTGCAAAAATCCTATTGACCAGAATTAACAAATGCCAGGAAATCTGGCAACATCTTTATAGTTCATCTTTAGTTCATTTTTCTACTTAAAAACGTAGATTTACAGTCCTTGCTTTGGAGCAAAAATACAGAACACATTCTAAACATCACCTACCTGAAACTATGAAATAGTTTTTACAAGGTTTTAAAAAGCATAATCTCATTTATTACCTAAAATTATATTTTTTAAAAATCCTCTTAAAAGGCTATGAGGGAGTTACCAAACCAGCTAATTTCACAGTTTCTAATTTTTTTTGATCAAAACCTACTGAAAGCTGGCACTAGAAATATGATAATAAACCTGAATTAAACTCCTACAGGTATTTCATACACTTATTTGTGGGCTTGATGACACATCCCACATTTACTAATATTGCAATTACATTTTATACAGACTGTAACAAGAATTAATAGTCTTTAAGTACACCACTTCTTTCCTATCAATCCATATAGATTAGAGGAAGTGAACTGGTCTGACCTGAGTGTAAAGTTATGAGGTGGTCATTGTAATATCTTTGCTCTAATGATATTTGTGTGAGCTGAAAATATAGTTAATCAACCTTTATTCCTTTTAACTCTGATCCTTGTTTAGTAAATACATCTCAACAGCACTGTTTAAGGAAAAGTGAAGTTTGGAATCAGATGTAGTAATAACAGTCACTCAGAACTGGCCAGCTCTCAGCATACCCAGTTTTGTGAAAGGTCACTGGAGGAATAAAGTGTCTTTGCTGCATGTTCTCAGCTGTCTTGCTAGCAATTACTGCATGCAAGTTATATGGAAGTTCTCAGGCTCAGAACGCTTCTAAGCAGCTTTTGAAAATATTACAGACTTCAGAAAATTCAGTAAGTTTCAATAATCTTGCTAGAAAAGAAAAGCATTTTTAATCATTGTAATAATTGTTCAGATATAAAGTTTAATTTTGACATAAACCATGAGCAGATGCAGTTTCTTCTGATCACCTTTCTTCCATTTGTTATCACTCAAGTAACAATCTTGTTAGTACAGCATATGTATTCCAGCTTTCCATGAAAACAAAAAGCTTTTCAATTAAATAAATCCATTTAATAAAAGGGGAAGTATCTGTAATGCTAAACCAGAAGCGCAGCTATTCCTTAGTACAATGAGACCTGGCCTTCAAGAGCTTTCTGACGAATTACAACGGCTTTGCTATTATTTAACAAGATCACCATCACCCCCTGTCCATACTGCCACTGCACTGATGTCTGAGCTGTTCATCAACTGGCTCTATGTATCCATGCAACCAGTCACCAACCTCTGCCTTAAAAACAGGCTGAAAACTGCACTGACTCAAAAGCCAACAGACAACCAAAGATACCTGTGCTGCAGGGACAGGGTGATCAACTGAGGGAAACAAATTTCAGCAGAAATTCAAACTAGTCATCCTACCTGTCAGTCAGCATTTTTAAATTATAGGTGAGGGACGGTCACATTTACCAGTGACCATAACTGAAAACCTGATATCAGTTATTCCATTTATTGATCCCGTTTCTTCTATAAAGTGTGTGTGTGTGTGTGTATGTACACATGCACACACATATATACTTACACACCCCCCACACATACATATGTGCAAAACAACAAAACAGATCATGTGCCAAATTCTCATTCACTGACTCCAAGCTGGACAGGAGATGTCCTTCCACATCAGTAATTTTCATCACATGGAAACTGTTTTTCTCTGCTACATCAATCATTACAGATTGACACAGGAATAGAAAAAATAATTCACCAGTATTGGCAAGGCAGGTTGGCAAGATGCTTTTCAAAATGAACCACAGATAACTTCAGAAAACAGCAGAATTTAATAAAAGCAAACATAATTTCTGTCTCCAAATCAAATATATTCCTATTTGACACTACAAACACTAAAGGGAATAAAGCCATCAGCTTGTTTGGACATAAACTGTCCCACTACAAAGGTCACCAGGTTCATCTCACAGTTCAAGTTGGTGTTTCCAACATAATTCTTCACCCACCTGCACTTCTAGAAATTAAAATTCCTCTGAAACAGTACATATAAATTGACAAATCCATTAAGACAGACACTAACAGAAGCACTGTTCTAACTCAACACCATACAACATACCATTCCTCAATTATTTTTTTTATTAAAAACAGATGCACGTGTATAACTAAAATATGCTAAGTTTAGGCAACTTACATTTGTATCTAAAAACCAACAATATTTATAGAAACACAGTGGCTTTACCTTGGTGGGAATCCGAGATGTTAAAAGAAATGCTCGACATGATGCCAACACCTATAGAAAAAAAAGAACAGAATTTGTAAGAAATATTTATCAGGAATATTTAAAAACCACTTTACCAGGAAAATCCTGACCAGAGGAAAAAGCCTCTAGTAGCGTGAGTGTTGATTCTCTTTGCTGTCATACACTGAAGGAAGCAAAACTGGGCTCAGATCCAGTAGAGGATAGTGAAGAGACTGCTGCACTCTGATCAGACATAAGCCAGTTAGTACAACATCCAAGTGAAGAAAGTTATCAGTTTCTCAAGAACACCTAATAGCAGTCTTAGCAACATTTAAAAAGAAGCAAGGATAAGAAGTCCTACCAGGAACATGAGATGTACTTAAAAATAACAAAAACATACAAGATAAACATTATATTATTAGTAATATAAGAGACCATAAGCAGATACTTTATTTTGGACACAGCCAGTGCATTTCTATAGTAACAATGCAAAGACTTCTCATTGACACCACTTGCATTTCTCCTCCGGCAAGGACAATGGAAAAATGTGATTAGATTAGTGAGACCAGTGACTCTGGGGAGAAAAAATGATGAAACAAGCATTTCGGAAGATATTGACAATCAAAATATAACATACAAAAGTACAACTACAATCTTCAGTAGCACATCCCACTCACAGATTTACACTTTGCAAAAGGGATGACTCATTTTGCAAAACCAGAGCAATGCTTTTTGATTTACCTGCCTACAGAATTAGCTATTGTTGGCTCCATCTTATTCCAGACAAAAAACTGAAACGAACTTAGTTCAGACATCTGGATCCCAATCCCGCAGCACATGCAGGGCTTTTCACACAGCTGGGACCTCCTGAACCCAGTTCTGCTCAGTAAGTATCCATCTCCAGCTAAGCAGGTTGGCACAAAACGTGTTGCTCACTCAGAGAGGGAGATCCAGCCTGAGAAGACAACGCAGCACCCAGCTCTGAAGACCATTCAAATAGAGACCGGATTTCAGCTTCAGTATCTCAGCTGAACCACATCTTGGTAAAACCTAAGAGGGCAAATGCTGCTGGCTGCTAGTGCTGGATATCAGCAGACCGTCTCAGAGCTGATGTGACTAGAGGTCGTGCTCTAGTTATCAGTGACGCAGAGCCAAACCGCTGTAGAACAGGAACCAGTGACTCTTGCAAGGCTCACCCTTCACTGAAGGCCCGTTACACTGGCCAGCACACCACTGCTGCCACTCAGCCGGCATGTCCAGGCCCTGTCAGGCAGACCCGCCTCGTCCCCTCGCACTCACGCACGGGGGAGAAATAGCCTCTCCCGCTCTCCTCCCAGCTGTGCCTTCCATGAACATGTCTTCTGCAACCCGGCATGTAGAGAAAGGGGGTCAACCTGAGGGGTTTTACCACCGGCCAGAGTTTCCCTAATCCACGAGCAGCACTCTCACAGTAATAGCTCCCTCCCTCACCTCCTGAGGGCAGCCACCCACAGTATTGCACATCACTCTCCTGGGAGCCTCTGGGGAGGATCACGCTCTCGGTCACACCCCTGTGTGCTTAGGAGAAAAGCTTCGCTTTTATATCAGCAAGAATGCCCCTCTTACCCAGCATCGCACCCACAAACGTATGTATGATGTTTACATAAAGTCCATTCAAAACAAGGTCAATTATTACTGCAAAATTAATGTCCCATCTTGACAACAGCAGGACTAGATTCTTTATTTTTTTAAAAAATGGCAGAATTGGCCAAGAGGAGGCTTGGCATTTATCACTATTTTAGCTGCTAAAATTCATGAGTATGCAACATGACCTTTGACAGGATCTGCTTTCTGATATTTTTTTTAATATTTTCAAAATTTTATGTGACATCTGCATTTTAGCATCACCATTTCTGTTCACATTTAGAAACACAGTAGTCTCTACTCCAAATCAACTTGAGACTTGTTGGATAAGCTATGAAACACGAGTAGTTTACAGTGATCTCCTTCTCCTCGATAAGGCTGCAGTGCATAACCAAATAGTTGCTATTAAGATCCCGGCTCACCCATCTCTCTGTCAATAGGATTCTGCACGGTTCTTAGCACTTGCAAGGGCAGCAGAACATAAATTACAGACTACTCGAAAAAACGTATCACTCTCTTCCTTCCCTTGCGAAATACAAGGCCAGCGCCAAAGGCAGAGGCACCGGAGGTGTTTTCACACTGACAGTTCAAGTCCCCTCTTAAATAGTGAGCTATTTTTGCGAAGGAAGTCCCAGCTCTCAGTTGCATTCCTCTGACATGAATAACGAGTCTGTGCTTAATTGCACAATTGTCTAGGGCTTTCAGCAGTATCCAGGCGTGCTGGGTTTTATGAATAGGCAGATCCTAGATTTCCTGGAGTTTTTAATTTCTGCATACAAAGACACTAAAAAGCAAAAGTAGCCACCAGTTACTCTCTAGCAGTTCTCAAGCATCTTACGGAGAAGATTCTGCCGCTGTTATACTTATTTCGCACCCGGGGAACCGTGAGTACAGGAGAATGAGTGTCATGGTCAAAGTCATTTTGAAAACCAGAGACTTGGAGGAGCAGACCCCTATCCAAGGACAACTCTGAACAAAGAGCTCCCTCGCTCACAATAGGAATGCCAGCTGGGCACAGTGTATAACCGACCTTATCTTCTGATAAGAAAACTATCACGTGTTCAGCTCAACGAGTCACAGCCCCATTCCTCCACAACCATTTTGTCTGGTCACAAGTCATATTCAATCATTAATAAAGTTAAAAGATCCATCAAAAAGATAAACAGATGCAGGGTAAAGAAAGAGACTCAGGAGTGGATTCAGGCTTTAACACACCTGTAACTCAAAAGGTTTGCAAGTGACTGATGTGAAGGCAGCAAGCACATCCAGGTGAATTTTATACAGGGTACATAACCCGGACAACAAGAGAAAATTATATTTAGTTTACAGTAGCTTTGGTAGCTACCAACTCTGCCTTTTTTCAAGCACAAAACAGGATTATCATTTGAATGTTAAATGACTCCTACTCACACACAGATACTCAAGTTGATGATTTCTTAACGTTTTTATCACTCCAAATTCCATAACACTCCCTACACTGCTCACAACATACATGAAACAAATTAAAATTTGTAAATTAATTTGGAAGTGTTTACCAAAGACATACCCTGGAAATTATCTCTCCAGAGATTCATAGTGTACAAGGTCATCTTCTATTTACCAGAATAAATAATTTGTTTCAGTAAATAAAATTAATTTGAACACAGATCCTCAGCGAGTAAACCAATATCACATAAACATACAGATGCATTCTGTGATTTATTGTTAAATCACAGCCTTATTATCCATTTTAGAACCGTAAGTTAAATTAACAGGGCTGCAGCACCATGTTAACCCAGCCACCCTGCCTGGCACTCACTCTTGGGAAGATCATTAGAGCAAGACAGCTCTGTGCTAATTGCATCTATTTTGCCAGACAGACCAGGGCAACTCAAGCCACCTTATCTATATTTAAAGCAGTTTCAAATTCACAAGCAAATTGAAGAAAGCTTTTAAAAATCACTACTATCCTTTTCAAAATGCCCAGAAATAGAGAGTTCTGGGAAACGCAGTGAGCACACATGGCTTTGTGATGAAATATAAAACAAAATGAAGCCACTCCAGCACTTCATGGGCCCTGGGAAGTTACTCCACTCACTAGCACAGATGCTCTGAAACTTCCCTCCGCTGAAATCTCAAAAAAGTTATAGATTAGCCAAATGTTCTTCTCTTGCTGTAAACTGATCGACATAGATATAAAAAAAAGCTTAGTACTTTTTTGATCAACTGTTGCAGTTTTACTGCTTAAAACACACTCTCTGATCCTTTCCTTCCTCTGTAGTTTATTGTCTCCCCAGCATTTGCCATTTTGTCAGCCTCAAAACTGCTTTGGTCTCTTCCATTATAATTTACTTGAGGAAAGGAGCATTTGTGATAGGCTTTCTTATTTAGATATACATCGTTTTGAGAATTCCTTGAAGTCCAGAAGACAGTAGCTTTTCTTTATATACCTCTTCATTATACCATCCTATTTTTACCGTTATTATCCCAAACATCACCATTATTTTTTAAGTTTCCACACTTAGTTCCTTTAGGACTTCTATCATAAGCTTTCCATTACTACTACCGATTCAATATCTAATGTACACATAATAACATGAGGAAAAGCAGCAGCACTAATACAGGTTTGGTTTTGTTAAAATACGGAATGAATCAATACACCTTAGAGCATCCAGTCTCTCTCAGTCCCTGTGGGATCGAACGTTCATTTCCTGGGTTGCACGCCTGATGTTTTCAAACGCTCCATCCTGAAGCGGCTGGAGTTCGATTAGATAAAAGGCCTCTTTCAGCACCGAGTTAGAGATATTGGAGCTGGTTTCGAGCGAGCCGGTCTCTGTTAAAAGCATTGAGCCTCCCTACACAAAGAGGTTAGTCAACATCCTGGAGGTCTTTTTGGAGGGTTAATTATTAGCTCAGGCACAACACAAACACGTATGCTGCTTCTGAAATGGTGGTACCACTTGGCATATGGTGGGTTTCTCTGCAGAGTGCTGACACCAGCGAAGTGGCTTGGTTCAGCCCCAACCTAAGGGCTCATGGCACCACCACCTTCACCCACAGCCCTCTCGGCTGTCCAAGGCCAAATTTGACTCTGATCATTTGGTCTTGGCTACTTGAAAAGTGTCAGCTATGATAAAAGCATTGACAAACCTTATTCACTCCTGTTCCCAATGCTTACTTATTTGTCCACTAGCATTAAAGCAGTCTTTTGTAGCTGGGGAAGATCTTTTGAGAGAGGGTTAGTGCAACTCACTTCTTGACATTCACACACAAAAACCAGAATTTCTCCCTCCCTCAGCTGGCCTTAGCCAAGTTGAATACATTGCCAAGTTGTCAGTGCCTGTGCAGCCAGCCAAAGAGCTACGCAAAACACACCTCAGAGCAGACCCTCAGCAGTAAGGGAAGCTGTTATTTGCCTCAGTACGATTCCCTCCTGCCCAAGATGAGGGCAAGCTCTGCAGCACAAGTAACAGCCTTGGCCAGCCTCACAAAGAACTGCTCTGCTGCCTGTTTCTCTATGATCATTCCTGATCAACCATGGCTTCCTCAGCAAGGTCCCCTCGCTGGAGCTGTGGACAGAGAGCCTGCCTGCCCTCTTCCTTGCTACTGGCACGCTGTAGGGAGCACAGGTTTTCACTGCTCCTTACTGCTGCCACATTGCATTCAAAACTCAAGCCTGATCTGTATGGCCCACCATGTTCCATATTTTCTGGAAGGGTGGTATGGAGAACGCTTTTTAGTTGAAATGAGTTTTTACAAAAAAGTGGGGTGAGAAGAGAGGGGAAGGGGAAGGGGAAGGG